TATTTTTGAACTGGTCCTTCGAGGAGAGGTACAAAATGATTTGTTCTAAAATCTTTGGCTGTTGGAGGGAAGTGTTGAAGCTGTGTTATCAGTAGATAAATCAGTAGGAGCACTTTGAACCGTCCTCGCTATAAAGGCTATAGCGACAATCGTTTTCAACTCGTGGTCAACTCTCGCATTTTCCTATGCTGAAATTTTAAATTCAAGTATTTTGTCAAATATTTTAACGTTATTGATATATTAAAACATTTATGTATGATTTTATATATTTACCGATATATATATATATATATCACATATATATCATATTTAAATATATATCACAAATATTTCATATTTGATGAAATACAACGACATCCCCACTTTCATCATAACTTAAGGTCACGTACTTCAACCAGTTCCAATATAAAATGTTTAGCTACATAGTTACAATGCCTGCACAAGAATTTTGTGGAAACAATTTTTAGCATAATAGTAAATTTTGAGAAGTCATTTTAGAGGATCAGATTTGTATGTATGTAGGTAAACAAGAGGACGATGCTCAAATATATGGACACGAAGCAATATGCAATCTATCACGGTAGATTACAGTGCCAGAACGGCAGTCTTTACGGCTGACAGGAACACGAACCAAAATAACAACATTATTTTTAATAATGACAGGTTTAGGTGGATATTCATGTTGTGCTACATAGTTGCAACACCTGCTCAAGAATGTTTGTGGAAACAATTTTTATTTGTTTCATTCTGAATCTATGACTACGTTATCTTATCGACAAGGCTAATAACATGTAAGAAAGTTTTGATTATCGATTTTTATCATCAATTCATATTGATAAGAGATGATTCAGGAATTCATTGCTCAATTTACATCCGCTAGGTGGCGTAATATGAAATTGTTATTTTCTATCATTCTATCCCCCTCAATTTTCCCATTTTACTTGGGAAATCGCTTGGAGGGACATAAAATGTCCTTTGCAAGATATCTACAAGTCCGTTCCGGTAGGTTTATGTAGGTTTTTCACTCCGTTCCGGCAATTTAGGGTCCGTTCCGGTAATTAAAGAAAATTAATTTTACCACTGTCCCCCCCAAGTTTGCCGATTTATTATAAAAATTGCAAGGAAGTATATGAAATGACATTTGCAAGACATCTAAAGGTCCGTTCCGGTAGGTTTATGTTGGTTTTCCACTCCGTTCCGGCAAATTAGGGTCCGTTCCGGTAATTAAAGAAAATTAAATTTACCACTGTACCCCCCCAAGTTTGCCGATTTAATATAAAAATTGCATGGAAGTATATGAAATGACATTTGCAAGACATCTAAAGGTCCGTTCCGGTAGGTTTATGTTGGTTTTCCACTCCGTTTCGGCAAATTAGGGTCCGTTCCGGTAATTAAAGAAAATTAAATTTACCACTGTACCCCCCCAAGTTTGCCGATTTAATATAAAAATTGCATGGAAGTATATGAAATGACATTTGCAAGACATCTAAAGGTCCGTTCCGGTAGGTTTATGTATGTTTTCCAACCCGTTCCGGTAATTTAGGGTCCGTTCCGGTAATTAAAGGAACCGGGAGGGAAGCAGTCCTGCAAAAATTTCGTTACACACCGACGTTCAATGAGCACGCGGTCAAAAGAACAAGAAAAAGAGTGACAGCATAACAGCGACTTTTTGGGTGTTCCACTAGGTGTCCGAAAAAAAGTAAAACGATCTATAGGTATGAAGAAGTATGTTCACCAAGATGGCCCGCAACCTGAACATAGTGGTTATGGTTCAGGTTGTGCGCCATCTTTGTGCACATACTTCAGGAGCACCAAAAATTCAATCTTCAACCACTGAAAATTTCAAAGCATTTGGTCCAGTAAATCGGAGAGGAGAGCGATTTTTTAAAAAGATACGAAGAAAAATAAGACCAACAAGAACAAGATTACCAAAAATATGAAGACGATTCATAGGTCCACACACGTGTCCAACAAACAAAACAAGAGAGTACAAATAGTTCATTATATTACGATTACATCATAGTAGATTTCGAAGATCATTTGAAGTTGGTGTTATTACTACAGACGGAATTTTATATGTTATTGTTGTACATATTTTTTGAAACCGAAACAGGTTCCTTATAAGAAGTGAAACATTGTTTATTTCGAATTGGGTTAAATTAAATGATAACTAGTAATGCACCCAGTGAATCTGTCTTCCTGCTGTTTTTTAGTTTGTTTTTTCGCAGTTTATTGCACTCAAATTTTTCCAACTCCAGCATTTAAATGTCTAAAGTGACAGCCCTGGGATATAGATACAGAATAAACTGGAGCCCACGGGTGTTTCTCCGAAATTTGACTTTAGAAAAAAATTCTCTCTATACTCTACCATTGCAAAAGATTCTCATAAGACATGATGGCAATCAATTAATTCATTTGCAACCAATTTTTAGAAACACAACTAAAGACTGACAAACAAAACGTGAAAACCACGGAAACGAGTCAATGTATCAACCATGATTGAATATCTGTCCGAGCGACAGATATTACAATTGTTACTTCATTATATGCAATTCAAGAGTCCTGCTGCACACTAACACAAATATATTTCTGTAACGTTTCGTCTGACCAAAATCAGACTTCCTCAGACAAGCAGTTTACAGCAATGACAAGAAAAGAACTTCATTGTGTGAATTATTGCCTATTGGCCATCGCTACGATATCGAAACAAAATATCGTGCTCGGGAAACATCCACTGTAACGGTAGGGCTGTCAGACTGCCGACATTACACAAATGTGTGCCTTTGTTGACGCTTTCATGTCTTACACGCATTGAATACATCTTCTAAACATATTAAAACATTTATAGACATTCACACATATATATTCTTATACCGTGTTTCCCCGGAAATAAAACTGGGTCATATTTCAATATTCTTTCGAAAAATAACACTAGGGCTTATTTTCGGGAGATGTCTTATATTTTCATTCATCAAAAACAAAATTACAAAGCAGAGAAATACGAGATTTTCAAATATACAAAATATGAAAACCTATATCTATTTACTTATAAATAACACGTTTTTTTCAAAATAACTGCAAAAAATAGATTATCAATCATTTAAAACGTATAGGAGAGATTTCTTGCTATCGACTAGATGAAAAAAATCGCGCTATTGACTGAGCTTATTTTAAGGGGAGGGCTTATATTAAAATCATTCTTAAAATTCAGGCTAGGTCTTATTTTCAGGGTAGGTCTTATTTTCGGGAAAACACGGTACTATTTTGTTCTTATTATTGGAAACGAAATGTTTGAGACGAAAATGAAAGAGCTTCAAATGGTGAATATAGAATGTTACGTTATGATACCGAGGAAGGTCTGGATATCACTTGGACCGTGTAGACCGTGTAGTTTTATTTTGCGACAGCATATTTTTCGTGGAGGTGCGCCATTAGTTTTTTCCTTGATGATTTGGTGCCGCTGCAAACCGCTGCTTTATGCTAAGTTTGTTCAATAAGAGTGTACAATCTCGGATTAGAACCAGGTCGTCGATGGGCAGACATCGAAATTCATTATTAGGCCTGCATAAAGAAACATTGCGCCACGGCTGAACTTTCTATGCAGCAAAAAGCATTCGCACCCATTACATTAAATATGTGCTTGTTTTTGTTATTGAGTAGGCCTACTAAAAGCTGGGAATTAGCTGTGTCGGTAAAGTATCAAAAATGCATATTTCAAACTGTTTAGCATATTTAACTTGAACAAGGGCCGCGAAAAATTTCAATATATCAAAAGGGGCAGCGAGCTCAAAAGTTTGGGAAGCCCTGGTATAACGCATGCGACTCGCGAGATTTTTTATGCGGCTCGTCTCGCTAATATTAATTATTATTCAAATTTAACTGAAAGAAACTCTTTTTTTAATTTATTGAGCGGTAAAAGAAGTTTTCAACAAGGATCAAGACAGATTATGTTTTAGTATGGAAATCGTTGCAGTGTGGAATTTTAAATTTAAATCAGTGTCACAATGGTCAAATGTTTGTTGCTTCGTTGGCGGTATAGCGGTCAATAGTTACAGTCTCAGTTACATTGCGATATGTCCTCAAGTAAGAAAAGAGTTGTCAAGTCAGAATGGGAAGAATAATACGCATTCACTAGTCAAGAAAATAAACCTTTGTGATCAATCTGTTATAAGCTGTTAAGTCAGAATAAAGTTAAAGCAATGTTAAACGGCACCATGAAACCAGTCACAAAAACCTATTGAGAGACTACCCTCATCAGTTGTAAAAGAACACTAAATGAGTTTAAATCATTTGGCAAGAAATTCGATCAACAACTGAAGCTAGTTTTGTTACATCATGAAATATTGCTCGTGCTAAACATCCATACCCTGACTGTGATTTTGTGAAAAAACATTTGCTGATGTTGTCGCAGTCTTGGATCCAAAGAATACGAAGCTTTAGCGACTTATCAAACGAGGTTTCGCGTGCGTCGCATTACACAAAGGCGCACCTCCCAAATTAAAAGTACCAATGTAACAGTTACAATGCAACAGAATTGGTTTGCAACAGAAGTTAAAAAACTTACAGATATACAGATAAGATGGGAACAAGTCAACTACTTCTGAAATAGCCCCGCAATAAATACTTTACAATTTTATTTATTGTTATTAGGCGTTTGCGTAAATTTCTTTTCTGTTCACGGTATTCTAATGTTATTAATTTCAAAAATTATGCGGCTCTCACATATTTCTGACTTGCTGCATGCTCTTATACTAAAAAATGTTACTATAGCGTATCAAGTCATTGCGTCTTCGTTGTACAAGTGGAATAAATGAACATAATATTAATTCAAATTTGAGTCTTCAAAAGCCCAAATCGTAACGGATTTACATTTGAATTATTACGCAGGCAATAAAATGAGCCGCCCAAATTATTTCTTCTGCTAGCAATGGGCTAACGTTGGGTTTGATTGTATTCGCTTATGTAGTTGTACAACATGAATATACTTCCTCTATTGGTGCGTTCTGCAATACCGTATTCAGCGTTGACTTGGCCGCATGAAATCACATCAGTTGAATTACAAAGTGAATAGTTCAGAGGAGCAATGAGTATAAAATATGGGAGAATCGTAATTTTTGTTCTATTAACTTTTGGGTAAGTGGCAGTTTTTGAAAGGAAAGAATAATTTGACTAGACCAGAATGAAATAAAGATTCAACAAACTAGAAGACCGCGCGTTGATTACGAAAAAAATGTACTTTAAAAAGAAAGGGCCACCATTGGTACATTACTATAGTGTATATCCAATTTCGGTGCTTTCAAAACATTTTCAAAATTCATCATTACTTGCACCTGAAGTGTGGCACTCATTTTAGGCAAATGTTACAAACAATTCTGGTTTGTATTATTGCCTTTTGGGGATTTAATGTACTTTGACAAATGTCTCATCCTCAATGTGACACAGAGGGAGACAATAAATAGATGTTGTTATTGGCAGTCTTATTCAATAATTATCCGCAGAACCAATTCTAAGCAAAGAAATCTATTAGACAAATATTTTAATATCATAGTACAAATATACAAATGAAGTTTGCATTTCAGGATTTATATAGTAAAGAAACATGAAGAAAAGGAAAATCTAAAACGACGCATGGACGAATACCAAAACCAGTTATATCAAAGTAAGTAAATAATTTTGAGTCTTCGAAAAAGAAAAGTAGGGAAATTTTATCAAATTTTCATTTATTGAATATTCCATTTATTTTATAATGTTATTTAAGTCCAGGTTCTTAATACATACGTTAATTCTTCAGATAGAAACCAGTTGAAAATAATATGAAATAACCAAGTATTGACCGTGTAACACATTTACCATAATCATTAATTTTCTATCATTTACGTGGAACGGTAGCATCAACATGATAAAACATTTTAAAATCTCGTTTATGTGCATAAAAGTGTGTGTGCCATTTGATCCGAATACTATGCATTTACGAAACCTAAGCAAAAAATAAACATTGTGGCAATTGTGAAAAAGGTTTGTGCGTTTATTGCTGATCGTGATATTTGCTTTAATTATTTTAAATTGTTCGTCTCTATAGCTATAGCTCACAACTTAATATAGAATACTAAGATTTAAACATTGGAGTTATTCGCGATTATAGGTCAACTTATCGGGTGCTTTGAGGAAGTCACTCATGCATTCGAAACTGTTCTTGAACTGGAAACACGTGACTTAATGACAAGTATGCCTGTTTGTTACAAAAGGTGAGTGTATAAGTATAAATAACCCAGCTTAATAATCTTTGAAGACGTATAATATTGCAGTGAATGTTACATTTGTGACACCGTCGAGAAATGCTATTAGTAGGGCTGGGATTGGTTAACCGGTTAACCGATTTCAGGTGGTTAATGGATACGATTTATTTTAACCGTTAACTGACATCTCAGGTACAAATCATCTTCATACCGTACGATTTCTTCAAATATGATCACCGGTACGTCATCGCAAATTTATCTCTTGTGGCATTTAATTCAAAAGAATATCACTAACTGTGTGGGTAAGGACTCAATAAATGTGAAAAATAATGGAAGTACCAAGATTGCTGATTATGGAAATTTGACAATGATGAATTCAGAATCAGTTTTCGGTCGATTTCGAAATAAATTGTTCACGATTACATTGCAAAATCGGATATTCAATGTCATACAACAAGTGCGCAGTTGATGCCGTTTTTCCTTCATATGATATATATCTCGAACTAAAATTTGCACATCGACAACTGATAATTTGCCACATAAATGACGTTTAACAGCGGAATCAAGTTTCCAAAAATACTTCCACACCCCCGAACCACACGCTGCCTATCTCTTGCAGCAGAGCAATCATGAAACTATCTCGATTCGTGAATAATTTTAATAAGCGATACCGGGATAATAACACGCAAAATTGTGACGTAACAAGCTGAAATTATAAATTATTACGTCAAACGTCACGCGGCGGTTAACCGGTTGATTTTACCCGGTTAGCGGTTAAAGTGTTTTCCCTGAAATTCCCAGCCCTAGCTATTAGCCCTCTACAGAAGCCAAGTGAAACTGAAAACTCCAATCTAAACACCATCAGCTAATACAAAATGTTCTCAACCACTAAAGCGCATGTCAAGAGTGACAATGCAGTCAATGAAAGAGCAGTATTCCGATGTGATGCCTTCGAAACTAGGCCATAGAAGTTTACATAAAAACCCTGAATACTCTATTGTTGAAGATGTCTGCAGCATTTCGGATGTTACTCGTCGATTTGTCGCATAGATTATATAACATATGGATCGAAATTTGCTTAACAGGAACTTCACTCATCTAATTGTTAAAAGAGAAAACCAATGTATTTGCTGTAACGATATGATTTGGAATAAAAAGTTTCAACAAATCAGTTGCGGTAATAAATCTCACCAGAGACTTTACATCATACCGACAAGTACAAATTTCACAGGTAACTATGAGATATGATGCCAAGCCCTACTGAACCTTGGTTAAATGTGCTAGCTACGTTATTAAGAATTATTATGTACGAATGCTGCGAATGAAATTTTATAACATTGTGCACTTAACAGTCTTATATCTGATGAATGTGGATTGCTGGGTCTGTTGCGCCAACCCAACAGGAAGGACACCGATTTATCAATTGGCCATCAAACGATAGAGGTGGTTAGTGACGCAGAACGTGTACATAGCAAATTTTAAAAATTACAATAAATATCCATTGTAGCTATCTCGAGGATTGGGTTTAATATTCAAAACCCTTCTGTTGTTTACACTGTATCATCATTTATCATTATAATTCGCACTAACTATAATTCAATCAATAATATAACGTTCACTGCATTTCCAATATAATACATATACATAATACGCTGTATGCAGTGGCGGCGCGTGGTCATTTTGACAACCGGGGCAAGCTACTGCGGGACCAAGTCACCCCCATCTACGGGGATAGGATGAGCGCTGTAAGTTCTCCCATCATTTTATGAGTATAAAAACCATTCCATCGGTAACAACCAATCGGCAAAAGCGACAATTTTTAACGATAAGAAAGTGTCTTTAAAACCGGTCCAAGTCAAGGGATTAATAAATATAGACATCGTTTATTTTTAAACCTCTTTCAAAAGGAAAGGCAATATTTACCCAGATAAATACAATGACATATTAACAGAAACTTCGGGAAAGCAGACAAAACCTAAAATAAGGTTTAAAACGTTACTATGAAGAAAGGAAAGGTAATGCAAAGATAAGGACATGCGTCGCTCACTCATAGATATATATGCTGCTAGACTTCTACTGCTTGAACATATATGCAACACGCCGCGGTTTCTTGGAAGCAAAATGCTCAATAACGCGCTGATTAAAGTCATGCATCCCAGAAATAACGTCTCTGTGAATGGATAAAACAGCCAAGGAATTTAATCTATCTTGCTTCATTGTGTTTCTGAGATACGTTTTAATACGCTTCAGCGTGCTGAATGTTCGCTCTGCGTCGGCGGAAGAAATAGGCGTCGTCAAAATGATGTCCAGAAATTTTGCAGACGCCGCAAAGGTAGTTACTAGAGTGTTATCTATGAGGAACCCATAGAGCGCGCAAGTTGATGTGATGTTCAAAAAAGTTTGATTGGTGTATATACATCGCAATTCATTTCCCAATTTACCCACGTTTATCATGGGGTAAAATTTGGCGAAAACGGAGTGCGAAGTAGTGCATCAACCTTATTCATTATGAGGTCTAAGGCTAAGAAATGGGAAGCCGGAAAGAAGTGAGGAGCTCAAAAGGAATGTGGAAAATCGAAAGCAAATGGACTAAAGGTCTCTAACTGATTCAAATAGCGAAACAAGCGACAAAAACGAAGGCGAGGAAACTATCAACTCTTCAAGCAACCAACGAACGAGAAGGAATGCGTGAATATGTCAACACGTTGTTGTAAGAAACGTCGGCATTGTGTCGTCATAATTTCGGGGCTAGCCCCGATGATTTAGTAAAAGAAACAGAAAACAAACGAGACAAACGCGGCGAGTGGAAGATAAAAGAGAGAATACGATATACAATGAGCAACCGGGGCAAAATCGGCGTCGCCCCGTCGACGTTCGGCGAAGGCTTTACGAGCGAAAAATGAACCATGTCGGGAGAATATGGCTAGTGTAGACAGTCTGTGCAACCGATATCGAGGTATTTTTCGAATATTTTTTATTATACCGAAAAAACAACCGGGGCATTGCCCCGGTTGGCCCTATTGACGCGCCGACACTGGCTGTATGTTATTTAACTTATCCTGAGGTGTACGTCGGGACCCCCGGGCAATACGTCAACACTGTTTGTGTCCTATGACCTAATATTGAATTCTTGCTTCTGTTCTCGGTTAACTTGAACTAAATATGATAAACTAGATGGTAATCCCGGTCAACTTTGACACGATTCAGCCGATGTTTAGGTTGGCACAAAGGTGACTGTGTACCTAACGATTTACACATATAGAGAAAAGAAACCGAACATTATGTTGCAATGCGGGTATATTGCATATGTATAGTACAAAAAATGCTTGATATAAAATAGTGTATAACCAGTTAACCTAGTTAATCACATCCGTTGGCTTGTTTAGTGTTAGGTTCCTGCCTTGACAAACTGGCCATAACCTCAGTACAGTCGTCATTGTTTTAAGAAAAGCCTCTACGGTATGCCATATTCCTGTTTTGAAAAATGGCAAACAAAGCAATAAATAACAATGGCAACCATGGATTCGTATTCATGTCGGAACAAACAGACCAGATAGTTTTACGTTTTCTAGGTCACCCCAAACCAAGTTTTTTCCTGAGGCAAGACAGTTTCAAGGTCACCGGGTTATTTTGGGAATCGACAAATCTGAACGATTTTGACTGTTTTATTGAATGTGGAAAACGAAATTTTTTTTGGGCTGCTGTCACTGATGGAACACAATGCATTTGTCATAATAATAGACAAAGGTGAGTAATTTTGGGCGTAGTTGTTTTTTGATTTATAATCTAGCCAATATTGAGGCAGCTCGAGTTTAAGATGCTCATCATCAAACAATGGTTGACTAAATCTAAATCAGAAAACTCCTGATATATATATAAACATGTCAAACCAATAGAAAACCATTAACTTTATTTAATCGCTAAAGCTTTGATACAGACGCAAAACGCAAAAAACTTCAACTATTTACAGCAATAACGTTATTGATTATGGATCGGATGCTCTGAAGACACAATTTCAAAAGACCGTTACACAAACTACACCTGGGTATAGTACGATTTACAGAACACTACACATCAACGAAGAATGCTATTTTGAAAAAACTTATGCTTCAAATAAACATGTTCCATACGTTGGAATATTAAGCTTTCCTGGTTCTGGTAATACTTGGTTTCGGCATCTTCTTGAGATGGCAACTGGGATATATACTGGAAGCGTATATGATGAAGCGGAATTGTTTTCATATGGTAGTTGTGACAAATAGTTTTCCCTTATTTTCTGTAATTTATGAGCTTTATTCTATATCCGAACAATAAAAGACTGCATAACATTTTGCTACATGCCAGATTAGCTTTCTGGAAACGTTGTGTTAAAATTTGTATTACTGTACAATGTGTACATGGAAGTAATTTTGTTTTTACTCACATTTTTTGTTATTTCAGTAAATGTCTCATGATTGTGTATGACTCTTGAATAATTAGAGTTTTTATAGTTGAAATCAATTCGCGATGCATGCTTCTTAAAGGTGACTGTTACGGCACACTCGTAATCAATTCGGACCTCCAGAAGTATGTGCACCAAGATGGCGCACAATCTGAACATAGTATGTGTACCAGGTTAGGGTTCAGATTGTGCGCCATCTTGGTGCACATACTTCGGGAGCGCCATCAATTCTGTAGAAAATTTGAAATTAGTTTTTGGATTCTTTTCATAAACGAACACTGATTGTTATATAAAGCAATTTTATTTTATTTATTTTACCAATTATTTGGGTTCAAATCATCCACGTGGTTCATACTTTTATATCTCTCATAAACTCTATAGAGTTTTACGTGTTACTTTGATAACTAATACTTACTCGTCTTCAGGATTTTACGGAGAAATTTTAGAAATGACAAGTAACGACATCCTCGGTGTGAAAGATCACGTGATTCACAAAAGGAATAAAAAGATGTACAACAAGCAGATTTTGATCATTAGAAATCCATACGATGCGTTTATGGCAGAATTCAACAGAAAAGCATCTGGGCATGTTGGACACAGAAATAGCAGCGACTTTCAAACGTCAGGTAAAAGAGATAAAGATTTTAGGAAGAAGAGATGAATAGGAACTAGAGTGTGATGGCAAACACGGATATTGGAAGAAAAGATGACAATAAATTTATACAAGTTGATTTTATTTCTATTTTTTCAGAATGGACAAAGTTTGTGATGGTTAAAGCAGATCAATGGAAAAACATGCATTTGCACATACTAAAGACAAATAAGCCAACTTTTATTTTAACATACGAGGACCTTATTCAAAGCAAGAAAAAATCAATGGAATTAATTCTGTCTTTTCTAGGTTCGGACATCGCTAAAGAGACAAAGCGATTATTGTGCATTGAAAATGACCGGGGAGGATTTTTTCGTCGGTACAAAAAATTGTCGTATACATACTTCACGAATGTTATGATCTGGCACATTAACGCCTGTATAATTGAAGTAAAAATAGCACTGCTTATCAAAGGATATCATACTTTACCGCCATATGAAAGACCATTGTCAGATACCCACGGTGGATATTCAATGAATACTTCACCAAAAGTAAAGAAATTGATGATAGTAAGGCCATTTCTATGATTAAGAAGCTATAACAAATGTAAGCTACATTTCATGATCTCGAATCTAGTTTAAATCGCATCGCTTTGATCAGATAAAGAAGCCGTGGTACGATATCTCATTCGTTACGTATACATTGCAAAACTTCAGGTATTACATTTTTATTTATAAAATTAGACATCATTATTTGCAATTGTAATTATCAGTATGACTAATTTACAAATATTAGTGTAAAATTTAAACAGTTTAGAAATTGCACTTGATTTATATTTATTTTCAGTTAAACTAAAAATATCTACGCTATTATGTGAGTGCTGCGTGGTTCATCATTTAAACAAACGCAATTGAAGCAAGTGTACGACTATATTTATAATCGTATTGGCCCGGGGCGTTTGCGTCACTTAGTCCTTGTTTTCGTCGAGAACTTCTAAGTTTGTACTATCAGAGTAGACCTCCATAGTTAAAGCTTGCGTGTATTGAGAAATTTTGCGAAGGAATCGATCGACAAAATTTGAATGTGATGCAGTTACAAACGTATTAAGCGTTTGAGGCGGGAGATATTCTATATTAAATATACCAAAGGGGTCGCAGAGGCAGCTTTCTTGACGGCGACTGCATTGTCAGTACTGTATACCTATTCAGAAGACAGATGCTAGCATTAACGTTGTTTACGAGCAATGGTTGTTTGATGCATGTGTCTCTGATAGTTGTCTGAAGAACATCAATCAATTGGGTCGAGCGAAATTTTTGATAAAGGCATAAGTTGTCGTTTGCTATGTGTTTATTGAATATTTATGATTTATTTCGCTTGCCCAAGACCAATTTAAGTGAACGGTTAACGTGACTGACGTGCAAAGCTGCATTAAAGCGGATGCTGACGAAGCTGCAGCGCCAAGCAAAATGGTGCCAACCAACTAAATATACTCTAGTGATATTTGTCAAAAACTAGAGCAGGGGTGGGCAACCTTTTTGAGCTCGCGTGCCAAAATTTAACAACAAATTCTCCCGCGTGCCAAACAAAATTTAAAAACAATGCTTTGCTACTTTCAATGCAAAAATACAGAATAATAATTTTTTTAAACATGTACAGACAGAATCACCATCCAAGAAAATATCAATCCGACAAATAGATTTGATTACTTTTCTTATTTTATATCAGTGAGACTTCTGATGTTGCATTACCGCCGATAGAGATTTTACATTGGGTTTATATTTTGTAACTTTCAACGAAATACACAAACCACCAGTTTCATCTTTCGGACCACTCCTGTTACGAGACGTAATAAAGTTCGTAACTGAGAGATTCACAAGGATATGTAGATGAAAAAACGAAGAGTAACGCAGTTGCAAAGTTTTCAAGACATGAAAAATTATCGGGAATGGCATCCCAATCATGTAATAGTTCGGTTTCTGCACTCCTCTCTTGTATTCTCCTCCCTGATCGCTTATATTTCTTTTAAAATCAATTTATAATAGTTAATTAGCAAGTAACTTCAACCAACATGAGCTGTACAACTTCATAAATCAAGCAGACATGAAGAAAAAGGGTGGCAAAGACGAACTATATTACGTATAAGAATATAGCCAAATGAATGCCGCGTCCTTCTCGACGAGAGCCCACTCAGTTGTTGCGTTATATTATATTTCCTTGTAGCCATATGTCATGAAAAGACAAATAGAGTTGAAATAAATACCGGATTGTTAACAAACGATAATGAATAAACGAACACCTAGTTTCATCGCAGATAATCCAGAATCTTGAAACTTTATATCTGGAAGAGAATAATCTCGTTTCCTAGGCCTCGCTCGCGTGTCAAATACCATACCAGGTTTGGCACGCGTGCCAGGGGTTGCCCACCCCTGAACTGTATGTATGTATGTTTATTTGTCTCGTAAAAAGCAACAAAAGCGTAGATAGATTATCATTACTGAACACGGGATGTAAGCACAAGATCATACTGGCCTAAAACACAAACGTGCGGCATGCACCCCCTTCGAAAAGTTTTAAATAGAAATAATCCGAATACATATAATATGGTACCTTATACAGACAGTTGTGCAAGGAGAGTGGGTGAGTGTGGTAACAGGGGTAAGGGTGGAGTATACAAAACTGTTTGTACAAGGGAATTTGTAAGACAAACAACGTCCATATATAAAACATAACACAACACGAAATAAACTGCATGTATAAATAATACTAAAATTTAGAATTTGGACATAAATACAACACCCTCGAGTGATGGTACCACATAATATAAATGTGGTGTGGAATGCTCATGTTTAAATAAGTGTTAGTGTCCGATTTTTTATGTGTATATACTATATGGTATGCACCACTCAAGGGTGATAGTGTCTTTGGTAGAACATGGCTATTCTAGCAAAAAGTTTTAGAGAAATGCGATAAGAATATGTATCAGCTTATCTCTCTATTTTCTAATTCTAAATACAGGCATGGAAAGATCAGGGATTATAAAAAAAAAGCATTTCCACAAAACTCGTGGTGGTTTCCCGTTTGCTAGAAGGTTAAAAAGGTTTAGAAGTACAATGCAGTAGAGAATATTAATATATGAAGAGAAACATTTTATCATGTCAAGGATTTTCAAAATTGAATTAGTAATACTTTGGTATCCTCGGGAGAAAAAAGGGGAGAAAATGTTTGATTTGGTGCTAGGCAAGCATGGGAAGAAATTGAACAGCATGCTACTTTTAACAAAAACCATTGTCCTTGTCCCTATTGTTGTCTTCATTTAAATTTCAATGTATTTTACTGTCTTTGAACCTAAATTGCTGTTATTTTGTCTTTGTTTAACTAATTAAGCAAGATAATAGAACTAGACTGATGTGCTAGTTATTAAATAGTCCATTGTTTATATTGCACCCGGGTTGTTATATGACTAAATAAATGATAGCTTCGTTTTAGTGGCTTCAGTCGATGTGGCTATTGTTATACATTTGCGCTTGCCTTTATCAGATCTCAATATCATTTTTTGTACTCTTGGCAACAATAAAAAAGTTACATGCAATTTCATATCTCCCAAGTATTCGAGATTCGATATAATTCGGCCCGCGACGCTTCACTGAATTATATTTACAAAACATCTGTATGGACGATTATATTCTTTACGAAACAGAATTTGTTCTGTGATACTAAATTATATTACAACCTAACAAGTATAAAATTCACAATCACTCGTTTAATGAACGAACAAATTGATTATAAATAGACAAATGGCAACAGAACGTAAAAAAGTTGATGCTGAGTGCAAATGGTTTAATGGCGCAGAAAATATTCAAATGATCAGTTTTCGCGCGCTGCTTGAAATTTAACTGAAATCTTTCTGAAAAATGTGATTCATTGGCCATTCCCTCGATTTTTAACTTTCTTAAAATATCTGCGGCCCGTCAATGACATGCAACCTTTAATTTTGGCCCGCAAACGACAAAAGTTCGCCGACCTCTGATTTACACCATTCCGGTATTTTGTTGGAATAGACAAAGGGGGGCTATGATAAAGAGAAGACGTAAAGTTTATATGTTGATATATAATGTACGTTTATTTTTTTTAGTCACATAAAATTTGTTTTCCACTTTCTTATCAAGTATACTTAACTTGGTGTTTGGATCTACAATTTCTTACTCCTCCGAAGTATTCTTTGCATTCACTCACAGTTGCTTAAACTTACTTCAAGATGAAATTCAAAAACTCAAAAAATCATTATCTGATTACACTGCTGTTGTCGATTAAAATATTGCTTTCTGTTCGATTGGCGTTAGGAAAAGTTGAGGTGAAAAATCGACCTCACATAGTGTTTGTATTAGCAGATGATTTAGGGTACAACGACGTTGGTTATCACAGAGGTTCGGACATAAAAACTCCCTGCATAGATAAATTAGCAACCACAGGTACAAGGCTCAAGAATTATTACGTGCAACCAATATGCACACCCAGTCGGACTCAACTAATGAGTGGACGTTATCAAATACACACCGGAATGCAGCATAGTATCATATCACCTAGTAAGCCTTATGGACTACCTTTGGATAACATTTTACTGCCAGAACAACTTAAATCTTGTGGATACAAGACACATATGATTGGAAAATGGCATCTCGGCTTCTACAGAAACAAGTACTTGCCATGGAAACGGGGTTTCGACAGTTTCTTTGGAATCTTAACTGGCGGAGCAACTTATTATTCCCACGTCAAGAAAGACAGGGCTTTCGAAGGATTCGCCATGTACGATTCTCGGTTTGGGCCTATAATGGATTATTTTGGAATGTACTCAACGGACATTTACTCTGACAAAGCCAGTAATATAATTACAAGACATAATAAAAGCAAACCACTATTTTTATATTTGGCCCATCAAGCGCCCCATAGTCCATTGGAAAACCCACCCGGATCCTCTAATCAGTATGGCCACATAAGCAATAAAAAAAGACGAATATACGCTCGAATGGTCTCTTATATGGATAAATCCATATGTACGCTGGAACGGAATTTGAAAAAGGCATCTTTGTGGGACAACACAATATTTATATTCTCTACTGACAACGGAGGCACACCATTATTTGGCGGAAACAATTGGCCACTGAGAGGAATGAAAAATACGCTTTGGGAAGGCGGAATCAAAGCAGTAGGATTTGTTAATGGGGGACACATTAAAAAACTGAAGCCCGTAGTAAATAGACTCTTTCATATAAGCGATTGGATGCCCACGTTACTAGATGCTTCGAAATGTCCGCTCTTGAGGAATACCCCGCCTTTAGACGGGATTAATCAATGGAATCTTTTATCACAGAAAGGCATTCCAAAAAGACGGGAGATTCTTCATAATATTGATCCACTGACTAAGGAACCAGTAGAAGCGGACAGAAATACAATTTTAAACGGATTCGACGTAAGAATAAAAGCAGGTATACGGCACGGGACATGGAAATTGATAACGGGAAATCCCGGTATAGGCGATTGGATACCGCCTCCTGAATATGACTTGAAGGCGATTCCTTCGTCGACACGAGGCCTCGTTCAACTGTATAATATCAGAAAAGATCCTTCTGAAAAAAAGAATTTGGCATCACGCCACCCGGGTATTGTGACTTGGCTTCTCAAAAGACTTGCACAATACAACAGCACATCAGTTCCAGTTGTGTTTCCAGATTCCTCGACCTTGTCTAATCCCAAATTTCACTGTGGATTCTGGGCGCCCTGGATGGGCAAAAAAATAAAGTTTCCTAAGAAAGTTTGTAGTATTTCGAAGATTAAATGGCAACAAGTTGCGAAATTTTCTCGTTTATAACATCGTGATTTCAATTCTTTTTCTGTGTGATAAGAAACATTGGCTGACAGAAAAATGGCTGAACTGAATTGTGAAATAGGCCAATAGGTAAAAGTATTAGCAAACAACTCGGATTTCATATGATCTATGACTGATTTAATAACACAAATTCAAGTAAGGATGTTCAAATGTTGTCAAATTATACCTTGGCTTAGCATGTTTTCATTAATATTAGGTAATTTTTATAATATAGATTCATTAGTTTCATATCGCCTATTTTCTTAAATGTTTTCTGTGCACCACTTGCTTGCACAGACTCATATTACCAGCAAGTATGGAATCGTTTTTGGTTTATTTTGAAAATCTGCCTGTTGTGAGTATGGAGAATATTTCTAATCAAGTTTTTGGTTGTTGTTGTTTTTCAAGTATTTGATTTATTGAGTCTATATTTGCAAATATGTGGTTACAACAAGCAGTAAATGCTTTGACAACTTACATTCCCAGCTCTTTATGTCCGGGTCTTCCTAAGACCAGAGCGAGACGACGACTACTCGCAATACAAGATCACTTGTGACATGGGAAATATTTTCCTCGAGTCTCGTTTTGTTATTCTGCGTACCATTTTCAACTTGACGAGTGGATCAGTACAATTTAGCTGGCAGAATTGTATGCATTTGGTTATCACGAGTAGAGAGGGTGTCAAACTCTTATAATTGGTGTTGAACAAGACCAGGGTGATTCAACCAAGTCCCGCGGGCCACATGTGGTCAGCTGCGTCGTTATCTGTGTCCCGCGTCGCATTCGGAGAGTAATCAAATTTCGTGTGTTAATCAGAAAAATCTTTTGACATATTGTTACATCACTAATGCCACTGAATTGACTAGTGTTATGGCTAACGGAGGCAACTAGCCAAGTTGAATGATGTGATTGGCAGTCTAGATTGATATCTGACTTTCTATCGTTTTGGTCGGGAATATATGCTAACAATTTTGGCATCGTAGAAAACTAAAAATTGAATGCGGATTCTATTAGCCTAGGTCAGGGGTGGGCAACCTTTTTCGGCTCGCGTGCCAAAATCGGCTACATTTAACGACAAAATTGTTCCGCGTGCCAACCAAAATTAAAAACAATGCTTTGCCACTTTCAGGCAGATTTACACAATAACTAACTTTTCAAACATGTACAGACAGATTCACTAATCGGGAAAATATCAGTCCGGCAAATAGATTTGATTACTTTTCTTATTCTATATCAGTGAGACTTCTGCTGTTGCATTACCGCTGATAGAGATTTTACATTGAGTTTATATTTTATAACTTACAAAGAAATACACAAACTACTGGCTTCATCTTTCAGGCTACTCTTATTACGAGACTCAATGAAGTTTATAACTGAGAACCAAGATTCATAAGCATATGTAGATGAAAACATGGAGAGTAAGGCAGTTGCAAAGTTTTTAGGACACGAAAAATCTTCGGGAATGGCATCCCAATCATGCAATAGTTCGTTTTCTACATTCACTCTTGTATTACCTTCCCTAATCGCCTATATTTCTTTCGAAATCAATTTATAACAATAAGTTAACAGGTAATTCGGGCCAACATGAGCTTTACAACTTCATAAATCAAGCAATAATGACGAAAAAGGGTGGCACAGACGAGTTATATTAGGTAGGAATGTAGCAGAATGAATGCAGCATTCTTCTCAAAAGCTCACTCATTTGTTACGTCATAATGTATTTCTTTTGTAGCCAAACGTCATGAAAAGACGGGGTTGCCCACCCCTGGCCTAGGTTGTCTATGCCCGATAACTAAATATTAATGTTATTGTCGAACAATATAAGTTTTGCCGAGTGTTTTTTGCAACCAGCCTAAACAGTATTACAAATATAACAGTATTAAAAAATGCTGCCTATATGTCAGAAAATTTAGCAATTATCCTCATGTACCTCACATTTGGTAACCAATCAATCTGCAGTTATTTTTAAGTTATTTTGTAAACATGAGTTCGAAACGAATGCTGACGAATTTAAATAGATTTTAACTGGATGTGGGAGGAAAAATACCACAATGCTTGTGTAGCGTACCAGCAATCTATGAAATAATTATCCAAGTTCAGAATATCTTCCAATATGATCTGACGTCAAGTTTCTTCTCAATATTCACTTCAATTTATACTATTTTGTTCTATTTATTAATTACCAATCTTAATACAACCAAACACTTCAATGAAACAAAAAGCATACAATAAAAATAACAAATACCAGGCAGTACAATGTAAGAAAACAATATACACAATAAAAACACTGACGGACCCTGAAATCGGAGACAACTTTCAATTAATGCAAAATAACCCCTAGAATCCGGTACACTAAACCAGTTACTTACAATTTGCGAAACAGGCTGAAAATAACTTATGACAGGTATTCTAAAACACCATAAATAATTCTATATGTGCACAACATTTAAACAGTACTGATGATAGCTAATTCCATGATAAAACTGAAAATTACAACATCAAAATAACTGTAATTGCACTGTACTCAAACAATAATATCATCCTACTGTGTAGCATAAAAATATCTAACAAATCCCAATCTAATGGTCATAAAACCAAGAGTAAACGTCTTTGATAACCTACTTGAGACTATAGTCCAGCGGGTAAGACCTCAAATATGATGGAATTGTGCACTTTTGGATGCAAGCATGAAACTTGGCACACATGTACAGTAGCATCCCCTGATCAATTTTGGATATGGTGCCATCCAAGAAAATATCTCTTTGCCATGGAAACGATGCAAGGGAAACAAACATTACTTTAGGAAAGGATATTTTCAAGATAAGTAGATCGATGTGTATATAATGGGTGAAGAATATGATCAGAAGTGCATTTTGACAATTTCCCTTGATAACAGAATACCTGTTACCATGGAAACGAGGTATCGTTATCGACCAAACACGATTATAAGTCGCACAACTCGTATTTTCTGTTATTGTCATGGATCACAAATTAAGTTACATTCTCTTTCAAAATGTAATTCCTTTTGTGCTCAATCAACTGCCATCGCCAATGGTTTGAAAATTTTATCGATGTTCGAAAGCACTCACATTTGCGGAAGTACCTTTTTAGTTATGAAGAGTTTGAAATTTAACACTATATGTAGACATAGAAAGACTTTTGCAGGTTTTAGTAAGTTTTTTGTTGGTTTTTGCATGGGTTGGCTCGATAAATGACAGATACTGATCAATGTGTTTGCACAATAAAAGTATTTGTTTTGCATTGCACTGTTTATCTAACATTGGCACTACTGTGGCCCGCGAACAATGCAAAAATAATTTTGTGGTCCCCGGAGACGATAAACCTTGGACCACCCTGAACAAGACCAACCATAAAAGTTCGAAGCCGTCTTGGCATCATTGATGACTTCACAATGATTGGAAACTTATTGTCGTCGCCACAGACGTTGCACGCTTCATGAAATGAAGAAAGATGATATATATTTAGCAGTAATATTTTTCGGGAAGTATTCCACTTTTTTTATTTTGCTAAAAAGTCGTACACTTCATAGAAAATTGCCTACAGCAGTTTAAACAACTTAATTAAAGAAATAATACCAGTTCCTAACCTCTTTGCGGTAAAGCGTGTTAAAAAAACCTTCACACTATTATTTTTTGAAAGTGTATTTCCTAATTTTGTTGATTATTTGAGTAATTCTTTGATAATCAGGAAATGGTTGTTGTATCTCATATTCACCCATTGAGTATTCTAAGCTTACTTCCAAAATAATTTATCTCTCAAACCCAAATGACGATATTTTGGACTATTTTATTTTCCAATATTAGGTTGTTCCAAGAAGCACAGTCAGGTCAGAAAATCGCATTACTCCGCAATCAATGGACCAATTGATTTTAAATTTCAGTACTCAATGATGAGAAAAAGTTGTTAAAAGTGTTATGCATATGCTTATTTTACAAACATATAATTTTATAAGAAGTCGTATGCCGATAATTCACCTCAAATTTTGCTAACTTTAAGATTTCTCTGCCATATCTTCATATGACATTTGCCATGGTTAGGGTTTTGTTTTTAATCAATTCTAAAAAACAGCATGTTTCAAAACATGGGCTTGTTTTAAATTAATTTTTTTCTGTATCTTGTGTATTTTTATTGACATACCCCTTGCATCGCCGTGAAGTGAAACTACGACAAAATGTTGCGTTCTGGAAGCTGCACACCGTGCACCCCAGTAGCAAGACGTCGTAACCAATCTATTATGACGTCACAATATGGGATATTTATGTATTGGGAATTTTATTTATTATGATACCACAAGGACATTTTTAAATTGCGTGAATTAGAAACTTTTAACTACAGGCGAGATACAAACATGCAAAACCTCACTACACCAGAAGCACCGACCTCATAATATTCATTTTTAGTGAGACCTTGCGCAAAGTACAGATTATATATAACAATCTTTACCGATTTATATACCGATATTTATTTTCCTAAAATAAAGGCATTAATACGGTAAAAACTGTTCAGTTAATTCAATTGGCATACTTTCTTTTTAAGGTCAAAGGTATAGAGTTTTTCAAAATTATACAAATTTATTTTTTGGCCATATTTCAATTTTTTAAACGGTAAATATTTGGAACAAGAATTATTAATCTCATTAAAAAATATGAGACCTATAAAGTTTTAAACTGGCATTATTCCGGAACAAGCTTCACAAATTAAAACGAATAATAATTGAAAACTGAATGTCAAGGCTCTCGAGGTTTAGCCTAGCTTGTCTAATGGATACCAGGCCCTGGTTCGAATCCCATGAGAGATGTGACAATGAGCCAGAGGATTGCTGGCTTTCTCGCCGTCGCAGGATGGTTCACGTAACAGTTTATTAGTTGCGACTTCCTCCGCCAACGACGTTTGCGGACGCATCGCGCTACAGCTTGAGAAGGCGAGTGTGGGCAAGTCGTGGATATTTGGGGCGTTTCGAATGGTTTATTGCGAAAAAGAAGCGATTGACAAGTTTTTACAACCATTTTTCTTGTTTTATTTTTAATCTATTTAATACAAAAAAAATCAAATAAAACAGCCATTTTAGACAAAAAAGGCAAAAAAAAAAACTTGATTTAAAACAAATGTTTTTAAACAATCCTTTTTGAACAAATCTCTTTTTGTATCTCACAACGATATAGATAAAACCGGTACAATTACACAACTTATACAAACTTCTAGCATATCCCAACATACAATCTCATTTTGAAAAGTTAAATATACTCCTGTTTTTTGAGAATATCCTGATGTTCGAGATGTATCCAGATTCTCAAAACTTTTGAACAGCTATACAATCATAGAAAAAGTGGCTGGTAGTTTCAACATTATACTTACGTGATACGTAACTCTGATGAAACAAGTTTGAATTTATACAATCTATCGTTTAGTACTATAGCATCATGGAACATCTTTACATGGAAAGATTGCAATCTAGTTTCAATAGTACAATAAAACAAATATCCATATATATTTTATTCCGATTACAATCACTCTAAAAATATCAAATCTGCCCATTTTTTTCTTGAAGTATCAGGGAATTCAAATTTCATCAGGTTCGACTTTTTATAGAAACTTTTATTTACTTTTCCTGATTCGAATGTTTCGAAAATAAGATGAGATACACTCATGAGGGTGGCTTTAATTTTTCAGAAAATTTAGATATCCATTTTGAATAGTAGGCAAATAATCCCAAGTAACATTTCGAATTACTTTCATTTTTAGGTGGTTTAAGATTAATAAGAGGTTGTAAATGATCAGGTTCTGGCCGAATTTTGCCATGTGATACCAAACGCCCAAGGAATTTCAGTTCAGTCACTGAAAATACAGACTTATTTTTATTTAATGCCAAACCTTGCCGCTCCGCAGCATTCATAAAAGCTTTTAATCGTTCATCATGTTGTGGTTGGTCATCCCCAAAAATTGTGACGTTATACAAGTAAGCAAGGGTGCCTTCAAGATTTTCACGCTCGATGAAAGAATTCATGTATCTTTGAAATACAGCCACTCCATTAGTCACTCCAACAGGAACCCTGCAAAATTGATATAAAGAGCCAGCAGCTTCAAACCCAGTGTAAGGTCTGTCAACGTCAGAAATAGGAATTTGGTGATAAGCCGAACGTAAATCACTGGTACTGTAAATCTTTCATTTAGCAACCTCGTTAAATATATTTTTTATGCGAGGTAAGGAATACGCGTCAAGAGCAGTGTATCTATTTGTTTGCGAATAGTCAATAACAAGACGTTTTTTATGTCTTGGGTCTTTTGTGACCAATACTTGAGCGCGCCACGGCGACTCTGACCGTTCTATGATGCCTTCCCACAACAAACGAGCAATCTCATCTTTGATGAACTTTAGATCATCGGAACTGTAGTTTTGGGACCTGACAGCAATGGGCTTACAGTTATCGTCAACAAATCGAAAAATACGTAAAGGTTCACGTACTTTTGCGCTAGCCAAGTTACAAACCTTTTTACCAACGTACAAGGAGTCGAGGTCGTTGAATTTGAAGACAACTTTTCCATGTTTGCTCAAAAAATATTGGCCCAGTATGATGTCCGTACACAGATTTTCCACAACACCAAACTTCATTGCATCAAAAACTCTCGTCGTTCCAATCTTTAGCGGTGCGTCCACAAATCCAATGATTTGTGCAACTGATTCGTTTGAAGCAAGTGCAATTAGTTTTTGGACCATAGAAGGTGAGGCCAAGACTTCTTGCCACGGATGCCTTTGTGGAGCTCCGTAGTCTAGTAGAGCCATCAGAAGGTTTGCCTCAATTTTAGCAGTAATCGTCGATCGTGACAACGAAGTATGAATACCAGCCATAATTGAAGTCAGGTGCAAATCGTTTACGGTAGCAACCGATTTCTTCGCTTTACGGCAAACTTTTGCAAAATGTCCTCGAAGACCACAATTAAAACACTCAGTCGATTTAAGGTATGAATTCGTCCGCAAAAATAACACCTTCTACGGTTAACCAAAGAATCAGCAACTTGAATATCTTTTTTCAGTGATAATTCGTCATATTCCAGCAACCTTTGTCGAATATTAGCGGAGCATAGCCCTGTTATAAGCGCATCTCTCAGCGCCTTCACTCTGTGCTGCTCGCCGCTGACTGCCTTAAAATTACAATCTTTCGCAAGTGACCTGAGCGCATGGGAAAAGATAGTTTCACTGCTCAACTGAACCCGTGTAGCCATCGTGTGCCTTGCATATATAATATTCTTCTTTCTTTGATAATGTTTGCGCAAAATCACCATAGCTTCATCATACACATTCACATTTTCCACAAAGGAAAACACGTCAGGTGATAAATATCCACCCATGATAGCACATTTGTTAATTTGCTTTGAAACACCTTCCGTGGATCTGTTGGATTCCACAGATGATAGGTAATTTGTAAGCATTCTGTCCCAATGGGAAAATACTTTTAGAGCTCCAACTTCATTCGGCAAGACATCAAGCACTGGCACCCGAATAAGTTTTTCGTCGGAAGTTGCCATTGCTCTCGGAAAACCAGTTAATCGTTTCATATTTAAGTTTCGAGCTAATAAAATTGTGGTGAACCAAATACAGAAAGAAACAAGCTTGTCGTCACGCTAATAACCGAATTGCGTAAGTCATTTTTAGCAGTTTTGAGAAAAACGTAAAAAACTTCCTACTGATATTGTTATGCCATTGAGGGTCAATAATTTGCCATGGTTCAATTTTTTGATCGTAGCCGGATTTAAGTTAATTTGTATGACGCAGTTAAGTGACGTCATAATGGCGCACTGTGACTTGGGCAGAAATGTGTCTATGACTTGGGGACATACGCAATTTTGCAACTTTACTATATGCACCAGTCCTGAAAACTAAACATTCCAAAAACGAATGTAATTCTCAGTATCTACAATGTCTAATCCCCAAAATATCTAATCAGTTTCAATTACATTATTTTTTATGTTTAAAAATATATATTCCATCAATATAACACGTTCTGCACACCCACCGAAATAGGGCTAAGATTAAATATAAAGAATAAAACAGCAATTCACCCAATATAAAAGCCAACCAAGGTGAATTGGACTCGGACAGTAAATATCACAAGTGCACGCCTTCCTATACTGTAGTATAAATTCAAATCAATACGCGCTAAGCTAGAATCCGAGATGCAAAAACTCGAAAATACTTAGCCGAGGTTATTTTGCCTTTGTGACGTCACAATAGTCCGGCGGTAACATTCATAATTCATTATGACAAAACAATTGCACAAATGTGCATGTCATCCTAAATCTCCATTTTTATGGGTTTCGGAATTCCTAAAATAAAATCTGAGTTAACATACAGATGCGCAGCATTACATAAATACCTATTTTATAAAAAACTCAAAATCGCCAAAAATGACTTACGCAATTCGGTTATTAGCGTGACGTTGTATACTAGTCTTTTATTAGCTCAAACGTCGACTAAGAGTCTTAAGGCAGCACAGACCAAAGAACGACTTTCGAATCAAAACACCATGCTATTAAAGGACGAACAGTATACGTCAGCAGGGTCGAATGTCGTGGCTGTTTTAGGCGTTGCTAGATTTTAAGACATAAATCACCACATTTTCAGAATTCATCATAACTTGCACCTAAAAAGGTGGCACTCATTCTAGGAAAATGTTATAAACAATTCTGGTTTGTATTATTGCCTTTTGGAGATTTAATGTACTTTGACAAATGAGAAAAATCTCATCTTCAATGTGGCAAAGAGGGAGATAATAGATAGATGGTTTTATTAGCAGTCTTATTCAATAATTATCCGCAGAAGTAATTCTAAGCAAAGAAATCTATTAGACAAATATTGTAATATTATAGTACAAGTATACAAATGAAGTTTGCATTTCAGGATTTATATAGTGAAGAAACATGAAGAAAAAAAAATCTAAAACGACGCATGGACGAATACCAAAACCAGTTATATCAAAGTAAGTAAATAATTTAGAAATGAGGCTTCAAAATGAAAAGTTGTTAATTTTATCAAATTTTCATTTATTTAATATTCCATTTATTTTATAATGTTATTTGTGTCCAGGTTCTCAATAGATGCAATAATTCTTTAGATGGGAACCAGTTGGAAATAATAAAATAACCAAGTGTTGACCGTGTAAAACATTTACCATAATAATTTATTTTCTATCATTTACGTGGAACGGTAGCATCAACATGATAAAACATTTTAAATCTCGTTTATGTGCATAATAGTGTTTGTGCCATTTGATCCGAATACTATCCATTTACGAAACCAAGCAAAAAATAAACATTGTGGCAATTTGAAAAAGATTTGTGCGGTTATTGCTGATCGTGATATTTGCTTTAATTAATTACTTTAAATTGTTCGTCTTTATAGCTATAGTTCACAGCTCAATATAGAATACTAGTATTTAAACATTGGAGTTATTCGCGATTATAGCTCAACTTATCGGGTGCTTTGATGAAGTTGTTACGATATGACGTAGTATACCCTATAGCGCCACCTGTGTTTGATGTCCTTGGTTGTCCTTGTAAAACGTGGTAGTCGTAATGTTAATGTTCTACTGTGCGGTGCTTTTTATGTTTACTGTTAATATAAGTTGGTGATGTCGAGTCATGTGTTGAGAACCCGTAAAGCTAAATAGAGAACGAAACAGAAGTCACTTATGCATTCGAAACTGTTCTTGAACTGGGAACACGTGTCTTAATGACATGTATGCCTGTTTGTTATACAAAAGGTTGTATACGTTTGTATATATGTATTGTACGTATATATGCATAAATAACCCAACTTAATAATCTTGACAGACGTATAGGTATTGCAGCAAATGTTACATTTGTGACATCGTCGAGAAATGCTATTAGCCCTCAATAGAAGCCAAGTCATTGATTCATTTCGGTGTTTCCTAATCACGCAGGCCACATTGCAAAACCAACTGAAAACTTCAATTTAAACATCATCAGCTAATACATAATGTTCTCAATCACTAAAGTGCATGTCAAGAGTGACAATGCAGTCAATGAAAGATTAGTATTCACGACGTGTTGCCTTCGAAAATAGACCATAAAAATTTTCCTAAAAACCATGAATACTCTATTGTTGAAGATGTCTGCAGCATTTCGGATGTTACTCGTCGATTTTTCGCATAGATTATATAACATATGGATCGAAATTTGCTTAACAGGAACTTCACTCATCTAATTGTTAAAAGAGAATACCAATGCATTTGCTGTAAAGATATGATTTGGAATAAGAAATTTCAACAAATCAGTTGCAGTAATAAATCCCACCAGAGACTTTACATCATACCGACAAGTACAAATTTTACAGGTAATTTTGAGATATAATGCCAAGCCCTACTCAACCTCGGCGGTTAAAAGTGCTAGCTACCTTATTAAGAAGTATTATGTACGTTAAAAGTCTTATATCTGATAAATGTGGATTACGGAGTTTGTTGCGCCAACCCAACAGGAAGGACACCAATTTATCAATTGACCATCAAACGATAGAGGTGGTTAGTGACGCAGGACATGTCCATAGCAAAATTTAAAAATTACAATATATATGCATTGTAGCTATCTCGAAGATTGGGTCCAATATTCAAACCCCTTCTGTTGTTTACACTGTCATCATTCATCATTATAATTCGCACTAACTGATTCAATCAATAATATAACGTTCGCTGCTTTTCCAATATAATACATAAAACGCTGTATATTATTTAATTTATCCTGAGGTGTACGTTGGGTTGTACGTTTAGGTTGGCACAAAGGCGACTGTGTACCTAACGACTTACACATATAGAGAAAAGAAACCGAACATTATGTTGCAATGCAGGTATATTCAATATTGCATATGTATAATACAAAAAATGCTTGATATAAAATAGTGTATAACCAGTTAACCTAGTTAATCACATCCGTTGGCTTGTTTAGTGTTCGGTTCCTGCCTTGACAAACTGGCCATAACCTCAGTACAGTCGTCATTGTTTTAAGAAAAGCACAGGTAACACGCAGATCTTGACTCCTTGATATTAGTGTCAGCCTCTACGGTATGCCATATTCCTGTTTTGAAAAATGGCAAATAAAGCAATAAATAACAATGACAACCATGGAATCGTATTTATGTCGGAACTAACAGACCAGATAATTTTACTTTTTCTAGGTCACCCCAAACCAAGTTTTTTCCTGAGGCAAGACAATTTCAAGTTTACCGGGTCATTTTTGGAATCGACAAATCTGAACGATTTTGACTGTTTTATTGAATGTGGAAAACAAAATTTTTTCTGGGCTGCTGTCACTGATGAAACACAATGCATTTGTCATAATAATAGACAAAGGTGAGTAATTTTGGGCGTAGTTGTTTTTTGATTTATAATCTAGCCATAGTGAGGCAGCTCGAGTTCAAGATGCTCATCATCAAACAATGGTTGACTAAATCTAAATCAGAAAACTCCTGATATATATATAAACATGTCAAACCAATAGAGAACCATTAATTTATTTAATCGCCAAAGCTTTGATACAGACGCAAAACGCAAAAAACTTCAACCATTTACAGCAATAACGTTATTGATTATGGATCGGATGCTCTGAAGGCAGCTCGAGTTCAAGATGCTCATCATCAAACAATGGTTGACTAAATCTAAATCAGAAAACTCCTGATATATATATAAACATGTCAAACCAATAGAGAACCATTAATTTATTTAATCGCCAAAGCTTTGATACAGACGCAAAACGCAAAAAACTTCAACCATTTACAGCAATAACGTTATTGATTATGGATCGGATGCTCTGAAGACACAATTTCAAAAGACCGTTACACAAACTACACCTGGGTATAGTACGATTTACAGAACACTACACATCAACGAAGAATGCTATTTTGAAAAAACTTATGCTTCAAATAAACATGTTCCATACGTTGGAATATTAAGCTTTCCTGGTTCTGGTAATACTTGGTTTCGGCATCTTCTTGAGATGGCAACTGGGATATATACTGGAAGCGTATATGATGAAGCGGAATTGTTTTCATATGGTAGTTGTGACAAATAGTTTTCCCTTATTTTCTGTAATTTATATCCGAACAATATAAGACTGCATAACATTTTGCTACATGCCAGATTAGCTTTCTGGAAACGTTTTGTTAAAATTTGTATTACTGTACAATGTGTATATGGAAGTAATTTTGTTTTTACTCACATTTTTTGTTATTTCAGTAAATGTCTCATGATTGTGTATGACTCTTGAATAATTAGAGTTTTTATAGTTGAAATCAATTCGCGATGCATGCTTCCTAAAGATGACTGTTACGGCACACTCGTAATCAATTCGGACCTCCAGAAGTATGTGCACCAAGATGGCGCACAACCTGAACATAGTATGTGTACCAGGTTAGGGTTCAGATTGTGCGCCATCTTGGTGCACATACTTCGGGAACGCCATCAATTCTGTAGAAAATTTGAAATTGGTTTTTGATTCTTTCCATAAACGAACACTGATTGTGTCTAAATAGTATTTAACCTAATTAATTTATGTTATATAAAGCAATTTTATTTATTTTACCAATTATTTGGGTTCAAATCCTCCACGTGGTTCATACTTTTATATCTCTCATAAATTCTATAGAGTTTTATGTGTTACTTTGATAACTAATACTTACTCGTATTCAGGATTTTACGGAGAAATTTTAGAAATGACGAGTAACGACATCCTCGGTGTGAAAGATCACGTGATTCACAAAAGGAATAAAAAGATGTACAACAAGCAGATTTTGATCATTAGAAATCCATACGATGCGTTTATGGCAGAATTCAACAGGAAAGCATCTGGGCATGTTGGACACAGAAATAGCAGCGACTTTCAAACGTCAGGTAAAAGAGATAATGATTTTAGGAAGAAGAGATGAATAGGAACTAGAGTGTGATGGCAAACACGAATATTGGAAGAAAAGATGACAAATAATTTATACAAGTTGATATTATTTATATTTTTCCAGAATGAACAAAGTTTGTGATGGTAAAGCAGATCAATGGAAAAACATGCATTTGCACATACTAAAGACAAATAAGCCAACTTTTATTTTAACATACGAGGACCTTATTCAAAGCAAGAAAAAATCAATGGGCTTAATTCTGTCTTTCCTAGGTCCAGACATCGCTAAAGAGACAAAGCGATTATTGTGCATTGAAAATGACCGGGGAGGATTTTTTCGTCGGTACAAAAACTTGTCGTATACATACTTCACGAATGTTATGATCTGGCACATTAACGCCTGTATAATTGAAGTAAAAATAGCACTGCTTATCAAAGGATATCATACTTTACCGCCATATGGAAGACCATTGTCAGATACCCACGGTGGGTATTCAATGAATACTTCAGCAAGAGTAAAGAAATTGATGATAGTAAGGCCATTGCTATGATTAAGAAGCTATAACAAATGTAAGTTACATTTCATGATTGCAAATCTAGTTTAAATCGCATCGCTTTGATCAGATAAAGAAGCCGTGGTACGATATCTCATTCGTTACGTATACATTGCAAAACTTCAGTTATTACATTTTTATTTATAAAATTAGACATCATTATTTTCAATTGTATTTATCAGTATGACTAATTTACAAATATTAGTGTAAAATTTAAACAGTTTAGAAATCGCACTTGATTTATATTTATTTTCAGTTAAACTAAAACTATCTACGCTATTATGTGAATGCTGCGTGGTTCATCAGTTAAACCAGCGGTTCCCAAAGTGGGCGAAAACGCGATAACTTGGGAGGCGCTGATGGCGATTTGGGCAATTTAGGGGGGGGGAGGGGGGGGGGGTTAATGGTAAACTGGGCAATTGGGGGGGGGCGCTGACATCAATACGGGAACTCAAAAGAAGTGTGATAGTTTATGTAATTTACTCCTATGTTTTGGTTCAAACTAGTTTGCTTGTGATTTCGGTGTTGGAAATTTCTCGCTTAACGTAGAACAGATGTTATGACTTTTTTCAGATCCGTTTTGTTTCATAATAATACTAGTCTAGCGCATACGGCATACGCTTCCTTCACCATGCACTGCAAGTTTTGTTGTACTGTTTTTAATAACAGCTTCATTTTACTATCGTGTTCTATAGTGTTTCGAAGCGGCAGAGTAAGTACAACATCCTTCATATTATAATTTTGGTTTTGTTAAGAGCAACACGTGAGAGCTGGGCCAAATAGGACCATCTCCAGGTTGCGACTTAACAGATTCATTTATATTTCTTGAGTCATTGAATAATAAGGCTACATAAGTAATACATAAATTGGCAAACGGCAAAGACCTAGCCTGTTGTTAAATCATGTTGTGACTGAAATTGTTTGATGTCGGTGTATCATTTGTGTTGCGTAAGTTCAAAATATCGAATACAGTGACTGAAGCAGCATATTTAAACTGATTTATATCAAAAACTGTATTATACATCGTGGTCTTCAAAAAACTTAGCCATCAAATTCTCGATTACTTCTACAAAAAAAAAAGTAATTATTCATTTTTGTCTACGCTTGAACTAATGTTTGTGTATGTTTGTACCCAAAATTGTCGGAAAATCTAGGACGTTTTGCACAAAAATATGTTGTTTCTAAAATATATATGTTCCAAATGCCCTCATCGGTATTGAAGGAAGAATTTCATTCTCTTTGCAACATTGTCAATCACCCTTCTTTGGGCATTTATTTTATTTCTGCGATTGCAGCCTTGAGTTCACTACTCGTTTGAGGATTGTCCTGATACAAAGGTCCCTCGAACACCCTACATATCAAAAGGTTTCAATTCGATAATTGGGGTGTCCACTGGATGTCATTGCTGTCTTTTCTCTCAGAAAAGCAAGCGTCAGATTTTATGTATGGGGCGTCGCCTCGTTATGCTGGAACACTGCTGGTCACCTCTATCAATCCTTCAAGGGATGTCCAGATTTTTCTTGGCACAACTACGTAATGTTCTGTATTCACCGTTTGAACTCTTTCATTTCCATGCCATGCGCTTCAGCAGAACACTAAGTGGTTGAAAATTTTGCAAAACTTCTGAGAAAATCATACGCAAACAGAAGTTTAAGCGCAAATAAATAATTTTTTTGAAGATAGTTAAGAAATTCTTGGTTTCCATTTTCTAGATAACCCCGAACTTTTAGAAGCGAACATGCACCACTATCATTGGGTTTATACTTTGAACCCAAGTTCAGTCTTTCAGTATTCCATCTTTTTGGAAACACAATCAAATTGAAATATCCTCACCTGTGAGATCGGGTTGAATATTGCTCTTGCTCATGCCAGCTTATTATTGGTAGAGCATGTATTTAGTGCAGTGACCGCACTTTTACATATCAAGAGAGATTTCCTCGAGAGTGTCAGACGAGGAGACTCAAGACTTGTTTTTGACTGAAATGAAGCCAGATATTATAAAACTAGTGGCATTTCACTAGGCTCAATCTTCACATTATATTAATAATAAGTGGAGAATAAAGTTGCTTTGACTTTTTTTTTGTCATGGGGGCGTTTACTAGTGAAAAGGCATCCAAGGGGGCGCTGGCAGAAAAAACTTTGGGAAACACTGATTTTAAACAGAAGCAAATGTACGACTATGTTTATAATCAAGTTAGCCTGAGGCGATTGAGGCACTTAGTCCTTGTTTTCGCCGAGAACTTCCAAGTGTGTACTATCAGAGTATACCTCACTAATTAAAGCTTGTGTTTATTGAGATATCCGAACAATATAAGACTGCATAACATTTTGCTAGATGCCAGATTACCTTTTTGGAAACGTTGTGATAAAATTTGTATTACTGTACATGGAAGTAATTTGGACTTAACTCGCATTTTTTGTTATTTCAGTAAATGTCTCATGATTGTGTATGACTCTTGAATAATTAGAGTTTTTATAGTCAAAATCATCGCACTTGATTTATATTTTATTTTTAGTTAAACTAAAAATATATACGCTATCATGTGAATGCTGCGTAGCTCATCATTTAAACAGAACCAATTGAAGCAAATGTACGACTACGTTTATGATGAAGTTGGCCCGGGGCGATTGCGTCACTTAGTTCTTGTTTTCGCCGGGAACTTCTAAGTGTGTATTATCAGAGTATGCCTTACTATTTAAAGCTTGCGTGTATTGAGAAATTTTGCGAAGGAATCGATAAACAAAATTTGAATGTGATGCAGTTACAAACGTATTAAGCGTTTGAGGCGGGAGATATTTTATATTATATATAACAAAAGGGTCGCAGAGGCAGCTTTCTTGACGGCGATTACATTGTCAGTACTGTATACGTATTCAGAAGTCAGATGCTAGCATTAAAGTTGTTCACGAGCATTGGTTGTTTGATACATGTGTCTCTGATAGTTGTCTGAAAAACATCAATCATCAATTTTTGACAAAGGCGTACGTTGTCGTTTGCTATGTGTTTATTGGATATTTATGCTTTATTTCGCTTGCATAAAACCAATTTAGGTGAACGGTTAACCTGACTGACGTGTAGAGCTGCATTAAAGCTGCAGCGCCAAGCAAACTGGTGCCAACCAACTAAATGTACTCTAGTGATATTTGCCAAAACTAGAGAAGGAAAGATATCAAATTAATATAACTAAATTAATGATAGATTCATTTCAGTCGATGTGGCTAATGTTATACAATTGCGCTTGCCTTTATCAGATCTCAATATCATTTTTTGTACTCTTGGCAACGCGGAATACTCGTGACACAAACATACGTACGTACGTTCATATATAGTTTGTTTTATAATTAACAGGGTTGGGGTGAATAAAAGCTTTCAATTGTGCACAAGTAACTAACACGATACGAGTAAATTGGATTTCTACACACGGAAGATAAACCTTTGTTAATCAGGTGTCCTACGCTCAAAAATGTCACAGTTTATTTACACCATTCCGGTATTTTGCTAGAATAGACAAAGGTAAAAAGAAGACGTAAAATTTATATGTTGATATATAATGTACGTTTATTTTTTTCTAGTCACATAAAAATTGGTTTCCACTTTCTTATCAAGTATACTTAATTTGATGTTCGTATCTACAATTTCTTACTCCTCCGAAGTATTGTTTGCACTTTCTTACATTGTTTAAACTTAATTCTAGATGAAATTCAAAAACTTGAAAAACTATTATATGATTACACTGCTGTTGTCGATAAAAATATTGCTTTTTGTTCGATTGGCGTTAGGAAAAGTTGAGGTAAAAAATCGACCTCACATAGTGTTTGTATTAGCAGATGATTTAGGGTACAACGATGTTGGTTATCATAGAGGTTCGGACATAAAAACTCCGTGCATAGATAAATTAGCAACCACAGGTACAAGGCTCGAGAATTATTACGTGCAACCAACATGTACACCCAGTCGGACTCAACTAATGAGTGGACGTTATCAAATACACACCGGAATGCAGCATAGTAACATATCACCTAGTAAGCCTTATGGACTACCTTTGGATAACATTTTACTGCCAGAACAACTTAAAGCTTGTGGATACAAGACACACATGATTGGAAAATGGCATCTCGGCTTCTACAAAAACAAGTACTTGCCATGGAAACGGGGTTTCGACAGTTTTTTTGGAATCTTAACTGGGGGTGCATCTTATTATTACCACGTCAAGAAAGACAATGCTTTAGAAGGATTCACCATGTACGACTCTCAGTTTGGTCCTACAATGAATTATTTTGGAAAATACTCAACGGACATTTACTCTGACAAAGCCAGTGATATCATTACAAGACATAATAAAAGCAAACCACTATTTTTATATTTGGCCCATCAAGCGCCCCATGCTCCATTAGAAAACCCACCCGGATTATCTAATCATTATGGTCACATAAGCAATAAGAATAGACGAATATACGCTCGAATGGTCTCTTATATGGATAAATCCATATGTAAGCTGGAACGGAATTTGAAAAAAGCATCTTTGTGGGACAACACAATATTTATATTCTCTACTGACAACGGAGGTACACCATTTTTTGGCGGAAACAATTGGCCACTGAGAGGGACGAAAAAGACGCTTTGGGAAGGCGGAATCAAAGCAGTAGGATTTGTTAATGGGGGTCATATTAAAAAACTGAAGCCCGCAGTTAATGGACTCTTTCATATAAGCGATTGGATGCCCACGTTACTACATGCTTCGAAATGTCCGATTTTGAGGAATACTCCGCCTTTAGACGGGATTAATCAGTGGAATATTTTATCACAGAAAGGCATTTCAAAAAGACGGGAGATTCTTCATAATATTGATCCACTGACTATGGAACTAGTAAGAGAGGACAGAAATACAACTTTGAACGTATTCGACGTAAGAATAAAAGCAGCTATACGGCACGGGACATGGAAATTGATAACAGGAAATCCTGGTATAGGCGATTGGATACCGCCTCCTGAATACGACTTGAAGTCGATTCCGTCGTCGACACGAGGCCTCGTTCAACTGTATAATATCAGAAAAGATCCTTCTGAAAAAAAGAATTTGGCATCACGCCACCCGGGTATTGTAACTTGGCTTCTGAAAAAACTTGCACAATACAACAGCACGTCAGTTCCAGTTGTGTTTCCAGATTCCTCTACCTTGTCTAATCCCGAATTTCACTGTGGATTTTGGGCGCCCTGGATGGGCAAAAAAATAAAGTTTCCTGAAAAAGTTTGTAGTATTTCGAAGCTTAAATGGCAACAAGTTGCAAAATTTTCTCGTTTGTAACATCGCGATTTCAATTTTTTTCTGTGTGATAAGAAACTTGACTGACAGAAAAATGGCTGAACTGAATTTTGAAATAAGCCAATAGGTAAAAGTATTAGCAAACAACTCGGATTTCTTATGATCTATGACTGATTTAATGAAAACAAATTCAAGTAAGAATGTTCAAATGTGGTCAAATTATACCTTGGCTCAGTATATTTTCATTAGTATTAGTTAATTTTTATATTATAGATTCATTAGTTTCATATCGCCTATTTTCTTAATTGCTTTCTGTGCACCACTTGCTTGCACAGGCTCGTATTACCAGCATGTATGAAATCGTTTTTGGTTTATTTTAAAGATCTGCCTGTTGTAAAACATGGAGAATATTTATAATCAAGTTTTTTAGGTTTTTTTTCTGTATTTTTTATTGGAGCAGAATCTATATTTGCAAAAAATCTTATCACAACAAGCACCAAATGCGATGACAACTTACAAAATCATCGCTTTATGTCCGGGCCTGCCTCAGACCAGAGCAAGACGACAACAAAATCACTCTAATGCAGGGGTCACCAACCCGTTGCCCGCGGGCACCAAGTTGACCGCGAAGACCACATGAGTCGCCCGCAGGTCTGTTCCAAAATAAGCTTAATAACGGCGTTTATAAGTAAGCTACATCAATTAATTTTTGTCATGTTATTCTTGTATAAATCACACTTATGTCTTATCTGGGAACTGGGAATGACACTATGTTAATTATTATGGTAACGATCATCCTAACTTTAATTTGACCTCAGTAATGTGACGGGTCATTTAATACTCTCCCAATTATGACATCACACAGATGTCACCTTCTGCGAACCCCCGTTTTTTCGTATCCGTTGATTTGTGGAGAAGCAATGCCAATAATACAATTATTGATTTAAAAGAAAAACGAAATAAAACCTACCATTTTCTTCCTTTTACCACCATACAAAGCAGTCTGCGTATGTCTCATTTGCGGGGCGATTATAGCAACAACAAAGCGAAGAGACATTTCACATGTCACTATCCATTCGCCAGCGCAGTACGGGCAGAAAAGCCCGACATTTAAATCAAACAGCAATCCTCTGTTACGAGATCAGTGTTTAGTTCAAGCTATCTTTGTGAATCAACATTTTTTGACATGAACTTCACAAGGAACTAAGCACGGAATACGCCTTACTGATGAAAATCTGCAATACTCGCTCAGAGTTACAGTGTCAAGTTACACGCCGAATTAATAAGTTACACGTGTTGCGAAATTTTCGTAAAATTGTAAATATGAAGAAAATGAAAAAATAGATTATGAAAAGACGTTGAAATCCCAGGGAAATGAGAGAGAAAAAAGATGCAATCGCTCTGGGACATTTAAAATATTACTTTTACCATACTGCTTTTCTCCGTGCTATATAGATTATAATCACCAATGGGTTTTCACGATTTTGCCATTTGCAAAGAACAGGCTGGTTTAACAGCTTGATGCATCTAATAACTTATCATATCTTGTTGCATTGTTCTATAGTCAAGAATATTAGGTGGGTATGAGTTTAATTAATACAAATTTTCAAACGTCTACATAGCTAATGAAACATCTCGGTTAAGATGATCTACCGATCATGTCTTTAATTCGACATTACATTTCACTGCATAAGAAAATCAAATGGGCATATTTTTTGAAATTTACGTATTGAAAAAGAGTACTCTATACTTTGGCCTTCTCTTTCATTTTATTTATATTGTAGAACCATCGAACTTCCGAAGCGAAAAAATATTGAATAACTCGTGTGTTTTCAACCTTACGAACAACCAACAGATAATCCTCTTGAATTGTATGTCATAATACGAATTGAGCTGAGCGAATACACAGACTCTGTGACAGGAAAAAAGATATTTTCTGAATCCACCAAACCATGTTAAATTATGTATGGATGTAATGTAGAAGAAAATAATAACACTACTGAACATTTCACAGATGTCGCAAGTACGTCACGCAAGTAATATCCGATATATCATTCTGGTTCACCTCCTACCCATACCGGTAGTTTGTTTAGAATCTATTGTTGTTGTTGTTTCTATGATTTGATATAATTGAATAAAGATTACATTTTGAGTTACTCCTTAGCTACATGCTGCTATAATTAACACGAAGGGTTTCGCTGACTAGATGGCTACTTGATTATTTCGTAACCTCTTTTTGTCCGTTTTTGCAATTTATTAAATGTATTTATTTTTTTTTCTCGCTTTATGTTTTATATCGGTTTTTGCGCGACGAAAATAAATGTCAGAATCCTTTAGCAGTCACCTGTGATCCTATATTATTGTTGCACTTATTACCTAATCGCATTAGAATGTTAGCGTATCACTAACCAAAGCAAATAACTATTATGATGGAACTATATTTCGCCTTTCATTATTTCACCTGTTTATATTATTTAGGGTCGTGTGTGGAGTCGGGGCAGTGGTATATTAGTGGGCAACTAATATATTTTTCATTCGAGTAGATTTGGTTTTTTTTTCTTCTCAGCTGACACCGAGCACCTCTGCCTTCGTGACCTTGTTCAGGGTTGCGCCATCTTTTTATTCATCGGACTGTGCTTCCGATGACATGATAGGCTATATAACGTGAATGTCGTTTTGAATGGCATATCTGTACTTTCACTCATTATTTCTGGGAGTGCTATACTAAACTGCTCGAGAAGTATAGAGTTTGTGCAGTTATTTGTGCTGCATTTGTTGGGAAATTAATTTTAGTTTTGAGTAACATGGCTTGTATAAAAACGAGTACTATGGTCCTTCTCCAAAGAAATAAGCGAGTTACTTAAAAAATTGCGCGATGGATATCATCAAGGTGACTATTGATCATATCACATAAAAAAGTCCTCCGAAATTCATATTCACGTGTTGCCATTATTAAAAATGCTAGTCGTACAACTTGTAAATAAGAACGAAAATAGGATTTTTTGTGTGCTACAATAAAAACATATAAAAGTACGCTATTGCAGTAAACACTAACTGTAAAGATGGTGAGATAATCTTATCGCCGTCCCAAGCTTGAGTCAGTGCGATTTTGTTTCAAGCTAGCAATAAATGTTTACACTGACATTTATAGTATATATGAGCATTCATGCCATGTATTCGAATTGGAGGCTTCTGGTTACTTTTTAACCCTGGCACTTCATGTTTATTTCATACACTGCACAAACAGTGTCGTGGTTTTTGGATCACATGAGTAAATATTACGGATAGTATCTATAGCGCAATGACAGGATTTACTATTTGCAAATGACATTAAGTCAATGAATATTGTTTACGAATGGAGCATGTTATCAAATCTGTCATGATTAAAAAGTTTTAAGCCTTGAAAAAGCGCTTCTGTTGCGAAACGTATGGTATATTTTGCATTTCGTTATTTGCAATCTAGCAAGTTGATAAAAAGTCAATTGAGATTGATATATTACTGAAAGAAAGTTTGCTTTTGGATTATTTAATGTTCTTTTCTCACTATTTTTATAAAACATGTAGTGTTTTATAGAACATGTCAGATAAAACTTAAATGCTTGAGTCATACATAATAAAATTTATAGATGGATCTCAAATATAGAATTCTAACATCAGAAGACGTTGAAGCTGTTCGCAAACTTCTGGAAGAATATTATACCAACAAATTTCCTCTCACGAAATACCTTGGAATAAAAAATGAAGATTTACGAGATACGTATTACTCGCGTATAGAGGTTAAAACACTTTTCTTTACATGTAGATATATAATAGTGGATTCCACCATAGCGGTCGAGTAAGGAAGCGTAAACAAACTTTTGCGACAATGTATTGTTACAAATTTGGACTCCTGCGCATAACTATATTAGCAATACTGCATTGTTCGAAAAGTCTATTGCTTTAAACTGTGTTTTTTTTTTAATTTATTTGAATAACATCATATTTTGGGCAAGTTAGTTTTCGCCAAACTATACATTCTCGAAGAAAATCGTTAGCCATAACTAAAGAATCACGAGAGTCTGTTCTCGCGAAGCGAGATGAAAACATAGAATGCATGAATTAGATTAGCTCAACCTTGATTTAAATAACAGTGTAACTTACTAGCATCGTACCATGAATAAATATAATTTCAAACACCCGATTGTATAAAATTAACCGTGTAATCTAAAACTCATTGTCAGTACCGGTATGATTATTTCATAAAACGTCATGGCTTGGTCGCCTGACTGTTGATTTTTGCTAGATCTATACGTTTTTGTGTTACATTACACTACTGTTTTTGTCAACTACGCAATGAGCGTTTTTTAGTAGTTTTCAAAAATTGATATGTAGTAAACATATAGAATTGAATCCCTTAAAAACAATTTCCGTGATGACCCAACTTTGGGCTTAAATGTAAATCATATCTATAAATATTTATTTGAAATAATTTCTTATTTTCAGTCATTTTTGAAACAAGGAAACTCATTTGGGGCATTCGATGAATTAGATCAATTAGTTGCAGTTTTCGTAAATGTGAAACCAGACGAAAACGAAAAAAATGCATTTGAAAATACATTGAAATCACACGAAAAAATAGATGCAATTAACAGGGTAAGCACAAACTTCATATCTAAAGCTTCATGAACTTCGCCACAGAAAGGAAACTCACGTTTTATTCATCTGAATAGGTTTAATATATTTGATACAAGAAATCATATACAAGGGGTCGGCAACCCCTGGCACGCGTGTCAAAAGTGGCACGCGAGAGGATTTTCCATGGCACGCCAAGTGTTTTGAAGCGCACGCGAAATCAGTATATAAGCTTGTGCGCGTAATGTTGCCAGATTGGGCTACTTACAACGAACTGAATTGCCAACAGAAAAATGATGTAATAAATTTTCCCATCCTTAGAATTGCCATTTTTACATCGCTTATGACGACAAAACTAATCGCGAGGAGCCTCCGTGTGTACCACTAAAGTCGTGCAAAGAGAGGTCAAAGGTAGAGATGCCGTACGCCGAAATCTCTCGCAGGTTAATTTCCATATGGGTCGGACTACCGGTACTATTAGCGTAGTAGGCTACCGGTACTACAGGAGCTTATATCAAATTGTGTTAGTTGGATATATTTCTGATGTGGTCTGATAGTTTGACCAAAACATTTTGACTAGTTTTTAATAAAATATTTGCCATATATTGCTCTTTCGTAGCCTAATTGTTTTTAATATTTCTGCGGGAAGGCGCGCCGCTGTGGCGCAACGTGCTAAACGTTAGAAATACGCTCGCCACCGCACCATGCGTTGGTTCGCAGGTTTAAATCCCATGCAGTGTCAATTACGTGCGAAAGCATTGCTGAACTCTTCGGCGATGAACAAGGTGATTCACGTATCCGATGGTCGGTTATAGATTCCTCCGCCATCAAGTCCATCAAAATAGCTAGCTATTCCCATACCCGATATTGATTGGTAACTGATTGGACGAGAGGTGGTAGTTCGCCATATGATTAAGCCGTCTTAACGGCTTTTCTCTTCTTGTGATGATTATGCAAATCCTTTCCTAAAACAGAAATTAGGATTTATGAAATCAGACTTGATGACAAAGAAACGCTCTGCTAAGAAAGTTAAATTAGATATCAGATCAGAATTTTGGATTTGTTTATCAACGCGATCGAGTCGTGTGCGCTCTTTGTTGTGAAAACGTCGTTTGCCGAACATCAAGCATAAAGCGACATTTCAAAACTAAGCACGAAAAATCTTTCAGGGACGATGTGGACAAGATTGAATCTCTAAAAAAAGTAGTATTCAACTACAAAAAGCAAACCAGTACGTTCAAGAAAGTGATTCGTAACACGAATCGCACAATCGAGAGTAGCTACAAAGTCGCAAGAGCATTGCTAAACACGGAAAATCATTTACTGACGGATTGTTTGTAAAGGAGGTCTATGTTGATTGATGACCAAACAAATGTACCGAAATTTCGAGGATCAAGAATATGCCTGTTTCTCCCCGGACAGTAGAAAGACGCATCACCGACATGGCTACTGATGTAACTGAGCAGCAAACCGTTGCGTTAAAAGCTGCGAATGTTTTTAGCGTAGCTCTTGATGAAAGTACAGATATAAATGATAATCCACGTTTAGCAGTGGTAGCTAGGTACTGCAGTAACGGCGAGGTACATGAAGAACTGGAAACATATGTTGCTTGTTTGAAACATATGTATGGTACTACTAAAGGAACAGATATACTTGACACTTTCATCAAGCATTTTGAGGAAAGGGGGATTGATATAAAGAAGATATTCTTTGTGACAACAGATGGCGCACCTGCTATGGTGGGACAACATTCTGGATTTGTTACCCTCGTTGAGCGAAGGATTGGGCACCCTCTTATGAAGTTCCACTGTATAATTCATCAAAAAAAACTTTGTGCGAAGATTTCAAATTCAGCTCTTAATGACGTTATATCAACAGTAACTAAGATAGTGAATTACCTTGTCGCCTGCTCTGCTACAACACACAGACAGTTACGATTTTTCCTTGAAGAGATGGAATGTGCATATCATGATGTGCCCCTACACTGCAGTGCCAGATGGTTGAGTCGCGGAAAGGTTTTTCCCAAGGCACCGAAGACTTAAACTTATTTGTATTTAAATGGATGAACATCGAAGACTTCCAAGTGCAGCTGATCGATTTTAAAGCATCTTTATTGTAGACATCAAAATTTGCCGATTTGCGAAAATTGCTAGAAACAAGTGAAAACAAGCAAGCAAGCATTTCAACATGTTGGGAATCCTTGCCGGGGAAATTTAACTGCCTGAAGAAGATTGCAACGGCTTTGTTGTCTGCATTTAGATTCACTTACATGTGTGAACAAATATTTTCACACATGAAGTTCATTCTCAGTCCCCATCGAAGCCGGCTTACGGAACATCATTCGGAAGCTTGTGTTCAACTGAAGTGTCTAAATATAGTCCCGATATAACAGAGTTGAGCAAGGAAAAGCAAGAACAAGGATCTCATGAAAAGCGAGTGTTTTGATCGTATTAGACGTTGTACAATACATTTAATAAAATAAATTTGTCTTTCTTTCGCTCACTATTCTAATCAGGTAGTTGACAAGGTAAATCAAAACACATAAAGAATTTTGGCACGCGAAGTTGCCTATTATTCGTAAACTGGCAAGATGCGTACAAAAGGTTGCCGACCCCTGTCATCTCCAAACATATGCGTGTGTATTTGTGAACAAAGATTAAATATTTTTTTAGATGATGATATATCTCGGCCAAGATGATCTTCCTGATATTCTTGGAACAACCGAATACTGGGAAATGAAAATGTCAGTAGCTCATCCAAAATATCGCAGCTTGGGTGTGACAAATGAACTATTTTGGAAGTAAGCTTGAATATCTATACCGGTAAATGTATTTACAAAATAAAATGAGTGCAAAAAAGATAAGAAATCAGACAAAAAACATTACTTATATCCACTAGATTGTTTTCATTGAAACTTGTGTAGAGGAAAAAGATCGATGATAACGAACGACTCAAACTCATCGATGGGAAGTAAACACGATTGTCATTTAATATGCTGATCGATGGAATTTTTTTATTTAGTTATTGCTTGTTTCTCGCAGAACCCTCGAGCATGCCAAACGAAAGAAAATCAAAAAACTTGTCGGTTTTCAAGCGTACGAAAATCTTCGTCCCCATTTCAAAGCTGTAAGACGAATGGATTTAAGAGAATACAGAGACTCCGTGACCGGACAAAAATTATTTTCGGGATTGAAACCACCAAATCATGTTCTTATTCTTTCTAAATGTGATGTAGATGATGAAACTATTATGAGGTTAAACAGTCATCTTTAGTTAATTAAAGTCCCATGAATATGATGTTATTATACTTTCTGGAGATTATCACCAGCAAATATTTATTGCAGCAAATATTTGCATTTTAAACTGCCATAAACTACATGTTGTCTAATTGTCTTGACGTCGTTGTCTAAAATCACAGTTTGCTCTCATTTCACAGATTTTCTATTCTTTTCGTCTTAAAAACTACACTCACATTTTGACAGATGAGAAATTAGTTTATGGCTTGTCCGTAAATTTTCACTTAAAAATTACATTTTTTGATAATATTGAATCGTTATAAATATATAATAGTAAATTAGAGCCTGTCGCGTATTAATTTTGTTTGCGAATCCGGCAGAGACTAAATTTCATACAGAAGATGATAATATTGTACATTCATTCATCCACTCATGAAGTCATGTTATTTTTGCCCCAATGAACGTTTAAATTGCTATTGCATAATACCAAAGTCTCTCTCTATATATATAGATATATCCTCTTTGATTTACGAGAACGATTATTGCAGGTATCAGATAAAATATATATATATATTGAAGATGTTACAAGCTAAGATTTAAACGAGAATATCGGTTGGGAACCGAAGACTTATCGATCGATAGTTAGGGGATCCCCCAAAACAGAAACTGCAGTTTCGATTCATCGGCTCTTGTAACTTGCGCACTGCGCATCGCACACACACACTCGGCGGGTCTCAAAATTCTCTCGCTTTACATAAATCTAGATCACTTCATCAATAATTGATTGATAACTCGCTAATTATATGACATAATTCGCCCAAAATCAATGGGCTTCTGGTCCGAGATAAGATGAACGTACATGCAAAATCTGGAGCAGATTCAATCTCGCTTTCGTGAGATATGGCGTGCATCTAATAGACAAACAGACATACAGACAGACAGACAAATACCTATCAACATACCTACCGATTAAAATCGATAAGTAATAACTGGGCTTGTTCATGGAACATATAGGCTATTGTTCTGTCCCATCCCATTAATGCCTGCTTTATCCCATGGGAATCCCGTTTCTATGAACAAGCCTGGTGCGGTTCTTATTGTCAATGCACCCTTCGAAACGGCACAGATGTCGACTGCCCTGCCCATGCACGCCCTCTCAAGCTGTAGGCACACGGCATGCACGAACGTGGTTTCTGTCTGATATCTCGAAAAATCATTGCTCTTAAAATTATTTGACACTGGTGTAGGTAGGCTACTAACTTAGCTAGAAATTGATGATATGAGACGGGGGAGTAGAAGTAAAACTCCCAAATGACACCTAAACGCAACCTTTCCAGCAATCGTATACATTTATTCATAATTCCGTTTGTGAGGGCAAATAGATCTGAATTTTAACAGAATATGAATTGTAAAATGTATTTTCAGGTTGCATAAAAGATTGCATATGGCTTTGTCACACGAATATTTGCAACGATCTATGTCTATACTTAATGTCTGTCTCTGTTACAAAAAGTCCACGATGTTAGTTCTCGAATACAGAGAAAGTTTTACAGAGAAGGACATAGGTTTATAATGCACAGGATTCAGATGTTTATGTGTCACTACAAGCCATGATTTGCAGTATAATGTCTAGAAACACAAATCTTCTTGAATTCCACATCTAGCTTTGGAATTTCGCCCTGTTCACTCAAAGCGTTCCAGATATTCAAAATGTCTCCTGCAGTTGGATGTGCATTTCTGTTTTTAACGATATTACCAAGACCTAAACGTAGATAGGTATATTTTAATAATTATCTCAAGAATGTAATTTGATTACTAAGAAATCAATAAACACAGGGCAGTCGTCGATGTTTATTGACCTTACGCTGGAGTCAGGGATTATCCAGGTAGTTAATGTATATATATGATTATCATTTGGCCTGAGCTTGTCAATAATCCTTAAATTGGACAATTTTTCAATTACGATATATGCCATAGCATAGGTTCTCCTCACAATTTATTTTTTTGATCTTCCGTAGAAAGCCCTCGCCACGAATGCAAAAAAATGTGACGTTTGAGAAAAACCCTCCGGCAATGTTTTAAAATAAATAATAGGTTACTATACAGTTAGGGTTCGGGTTAGGAATGATTTGAATTTCCTGCGCAATCTGTATTTCTTATAACCTAACTGGATAATTACTCATGTTTTTATTTTTAGCGGTGGCGAGGGTATTTTTTTTATCCTTTTTTAATTGGGTGGATCTGGACCCATATCCTATCTCTGTTTAATCACGTTATTAATATTTTGTAGTATGTCAATTCCTAGGTAACGCATTATATGGTTTCATTCTTGATTGTTTGGTTGTCATTGCGTAGTTTCTACATTGCCTTACTTGGATATCGTAAAGTGCATAAATGATATATAAAGTGCACTGATACTACTCTATATAAAACGTACCGTCGGGTCCACAAAATGATGCAATGAAATAGTTCTCATAATCAGTCAAGAAGAAAAATTTCGAAGAGAAAATAGCTTCATTCACTAGATGAAAAAAATACATAATACTCTATTTAAATAAAAGTAAATATTGTAAATTATGGTTATTTTTCTAGCAATACAAAAACATTCAAGTCACGTTATGGCGCGGTGACCAATAAAAATTGAACGACGCCCGACATACGTTTGTATAACTGATACCAAGACACGGGTGATCCGCCAATGTATGGTCCTTTAATGTTCCCTTGGAGAATATTATAAAAATTATATTCGATCAATAACAATTTTTTAAACAAATGTCAGAACTTACGATTATCGAGACCCTCAAATGTTTGCTGGGTAGCTTTATGCGAAACTGCTTGTTTAGTGTTGGTAGCGTAAGCTTTTTCTAAAATAGAAAAAGAAATAACTATAATTAGAAATTAATGATTTCGTATAAAATAAAATATTCATAAAAGATTTCATTTAATAAATTGTTAAAAAAATCATGTATAAGATATGCTCTATAAGTATTTATGAACATTTTTACTCACATGCATATATTAGGACAACTAATTACATAACAGCATTAATAAATGTGATATAATAATGGAAATACTTCAACTATTTAGTTATTACATTAGATTATCACATACTATGTTCTTGGTTCAAGCTGTATGTTCCATCACGATTTTCAATGAAGTGAACGAACACATACAGATGATCTTCTAGAGGTTTTCTGTGTACATTTTTAAAATGGTATAAATCACATTATACATTAGACTTGTAAACTAGGCATGCGCTACCACAATACAGTTTGTTCTCTGGGCAATATGACACTAAAATCAGGCGCGTACGCATCACTGGATACTGAAGAAATATGAGCAGATGGTTTATACAAATATATGTCCATTACAATGGACTACGATAATATGAGAGAGATTGCTGGAATAAAAAAAATTGTAGCAAATGGTTTGCATACGAATTCATTCACTACCCAAATCATTCATCTTCTACTAGAATCCAAATAGACTGATGGACGAATGCGCCCAGTATAGATCTCCGCCGATGCTCGGGAATCCCATCGTTTCACAGTTACCAACGAGTAACAGGGGAGTGTGCTTTTTGTGCCATTAAAATGCCGAAGAGCATAACTAACACTTCCAATTTTTGCTGTGCGACCCAACAGGCAACTTTTTGAATTTGCTACATACTGACAGATTTCACTCCAGCATTAAGTGGCCATGCATGCAAAATTGCAGATCTGCACAAGCAGCGTAATAAAGACCGGGTAACCAAAACTATACTAAAATTCCTGATGTCTCCCTGGTTTATTAATTATCTAGTTGAACGAGGGCTCATTCAAAAGAGTATTTTTTTCCGCGGAGGTCGTTCTCTCGGAGTTCAATTTTCAAGTAGGTTTACGGGAAAGTGGCGACAAATGGTGAGTGAATTCTAAATTTTCCAACAAATGAAATAGTTTTTCGTTGGTGACACGGAAACAAAGCATCAATCCGGAATTTGCGCATAAAACTAGGGCGACAGAATAAACCACCTGAAAAATTTCATCCAGTCCGTAATATCTGCTAGACGCTACAGTTGCACACACGGGCGGAAATAGACAGAACGAATGGAAACAAGAGAGCTATGTTCAAATATATGGACACGTAGCCACATCATTTTGATGACGTCATAGCAAAAATAAAAGGAATATCCCTCTGGAGAAAAATTCCATCTTTACCCTCTGAAAATTTCAAAGCAATTGGTCCAGTAATCAAAGAGAAAAGCGATTTCTTCGAAACGTGTCAAAGAACAAGAACAACATAACAACAAAACGATCGTTATGTCCGATACGTATCCAATAAGGGCCTCCTATAGAGCGAGGATCCAATGAATAAATTTATATAATAGAACATACTCAGCCACGTGCATTGTTACATTTGCCGAAAATCCACCTTCCGCTGGTCGTATAGTGTGCCAGTCCCAGCAATCGATCGCCATTTGCATGTATGGTATATCAAATACATCGTACCAGGTTGCATTCAACTTGCTCAACTGAAACAACGATATGTATGTATGTTGTAAATAGGAGAGAGTTCGTGCTAGTTTTGAATATACCCAACATACTCTTCATGTAAAAATAAACATTCGGATGAGATACATATAAAGAGAAAGGGAAGCTGGTTAAATATTTCCTGTTCGACTTCCATATCACGATGGATTGTTATAAAAACAAGTTAAAAATATATTTTCATCGGTAAAATCATGTCTGGAGCCTGGTTTTGATTAAAATTAATGAAATTCCGCATAACAATATGAGCGAAATGTAGGTTTTTCAAAGGGAACAGGGATGAGAAGATGACGAGTTCATCGCGGAGGTATCTGATTCTGAAATACCGGATACTTTTGCGATCTTGGTTTTATGCCCATAATCCGTGTAAGTTTTTCTATCGATGTTGTCTCAGCATAATTGAAAACTTGTCAAAAACGTGATTTCACAAAACAACGTTATACTCGGAATTACACAATCTATATAAAATATTTTCTGCCTTAACTTACCCGGTCGACGTCTAGTTTTTCGTATAATGGTTGGTATGGACATAACAGACCACAAGATATGTGCGACATCGACAGAAATAAATGAATGAATAAATATATTCGTAAATCGAAGATTAGCGTCATGCTGCTGTACAGCTACTAAAAGTATTTTCATTCTGTATTCTGAAATAACATACAACATAAACAGCATTGTAAAAATGAATTCATCTGCCAAAACTTTTCAAGTTTTTACCCTACACAAATCTATATCCCACTCCTAAATAATAATAAAATACAGCACTAGCTCCTTTCTAATAATAAATTGAAATTTTAAACATGTTAATTTGAACACCAAACAACAATATATATTTTCAGATACTTTTCTAGCTACTGCATAAATTTTCTAAATAATTGCCTTGGGCGCCTAAATTTCGACAGTTTGCGACAACTTTTTTGGTGGTTTGGATAAAAGTATTTACAGAGCAGTGTGTGCAAATCGTAACGACGATTTATATACTAAATGTTATTACTATAAATAGAATTGTAAATTTTTCTAACAAAATTTTGGCATGGTTTTTCAATACAATATTTTGCCAATAGTACAGAATTGACTGCAAAATTCTGCAAACCTTAACTACTAACTAAACCTTACTGATTTGACATGCAAGTAAAATGTATTCTGTGTGAGATGTATATTTTGGTGACGTCGAAGATTTTATTCTCAGAAAGCAGTTTTGAACAAACCATAATTATTACGTTTTAGGATTTGGGCAAAGAGAATCGGAAGATTCGAAGTAGCGCCGGCTCAGATGTGGCACGGCATACTTCGTAAGCAATACTTTACTTTATGTAACAGTCATTCAATAATGCAAGACTTTTAAACAATTTTCCAGTTGCAATTTCACGAATATTAGAAAAGAATGAAATACTTGAAATACAAACTTGCAAGTGTGACACCAGACTTTGATTCCTCACTTAAAGTTAAATGTATTTAAATATTGTAAAGGTGGAACGTGTCAAATGAAGTTGGAGGTCAAATCTAACAAATATCCATAAGATTATGTATATACCAGAGAAGATGGCCAATCAAATACATAACACATTCTTATTAGCTATATCTACCACCCCCCTAAATTGGACACACCCCCTTCCCCCTACATGAAAAGCAGGGAAGCATACTGATCCGCAATTCTCGTGGTAGTTTTGTTGGTGATATCAACATTAAAAATTTAGATTTCATAACTGCATTTTAAATTATTATAAGCAATAACCCCACCGATTTCAAGTATTCTCTATCAGTAGTTATAAATTGACTGGACTTAAGTACATTAACCAACCTATTACTGTACAATTATTTAAAACGATGGAGCAAAGTCGGAACTATATTTCGATATTGGCGATCTTGCGCTTTCAAGTCATTACGTCGTCGTTTTTGAGTGGTTTTTAGTATTCCTCTCTGAATCCATAAAATTGCACGACTCAAGTTATAGTTGATTACCGATCTTCTTCGTTTGTTTTTCAAACGTTATATTGAAAATATCTTCATTCAGGATAAACTTCTCGGACAACGTCTATTCAGTACAGTCCCTTACTAAAGTATCTTTCTCACGTATAACCATTGCTAGGATATTTTAGACTTGTAAATCAACTAAATTGACGATATTTTGATCAAATTTGCGCAATTCAATTTTTTTTCACATTGTAATCTGAGGAGATATAACATGTGCTTTTAAGTGGGAAAATTTAGTATTTTTGGTGGTATTTACATGATATTACGTACAAGAATTTTTTTTTTTTTTAGAAAATCAGAGTTTTATCGCAATATAAAATCAACAACACAAAAGCATTGATGTAAAGTCAGGTTGGCTGAAAACCACTCCCTCTGAGCGGCAGTTATTCAGTTTTCAATTACAGGCCTTTCGTGGTATAATGTCTCGAAACACAAATATGTTTGAATTCAATTTGAAGTTTTGGAATTTCCCCTTGTTCACTGAGAGCGTTCCAGATATTCATAACATCCATTGCAGTCGGATATGCTCTTCTGTTTTTCACAATAGAAACCAATCCTAAAATCCCAAAAATATACATATATGATTATTTATTAAACTTCAAAAAATTGTATATTTCCCTTTTGGATGCTGATCTTTTATGTTTTTCCCCTAAATATTATGGTGTCACATGTCGTGGTGTCGATGATACTATTAGTGAACCATTTATTCCCCAACGTTTAGTATAATGTTTATGTTTGAGAGGTGGCCCTTTCCAATTGATGGTCTCTGAATACCACTAGTTTAGTCGGAAAGGCCAAGGTTCTTTCTGTAGATAAATAATTATACTGCGTAGTCATGGTTTTATCACCGAAAGACAACGAAAAATTTAAAAAACTTATTTATTATCAATAAAAGTCGAACCCTTAAAACTTTATATACCTGCAGGCCCGCACAGTGCCACGATGAAATAATTTTCATAATCAGTCAAGAAGAAAAACTTTGCAGAGTACAACGCTTCGATCTCTGTTAACAAATATATATATTTTGTAATATATATAAGTAGAAAAATCACGTTGTTAAGTCAACAATTTGGTTCACAATTACCATCAAACAGTAATGAGCCTCTACGTATCAGCATATACGCATCCAGAATTAAAGATTTGCCTGTATGCTGACCAATTATTAATTCATTGTGCACTCACGTTCTTCTATTCCAGATATTGTTCGCTCTGTAGATTTGTGAAGGACTGATTGTTTCATAGTGGAAGAGTGTGCATTTTCTGAAAACAACCAACAGAGAGTATGGAGAATTGTGATATTTCAAAATGAAAAGAGTGAAACATAAATTACACCCAAGAAGTGATATTGTTCCTTGAAATGTATCGAAATTTTTGCTGTATGAATTAATCATTTCCAAATTATGTCAATATCGATATCACCAAAATCAACTGTTACTGGTACATCTCTATCTTCATTTTGTTTTCATAACAACTATCTATTCATCTTAAGAAGAAATGAAGTAACCAATCAGTTTTATCTCATGGTATAGTTCATCCGGATGGCTTCCTTCAGGCTGGAGAATTGTGATCTTCTTCAATCAATGTTGTATAAATTTTCATATCGTGAGAAAATATTACTTACTAAGTTCTGGATTGAGGAAATACGTTCCATCAAGATTGTGAATATAATGAATCAATATGTCCAAATGTTTCTCTAAAGGTTTTCTGTAAAAGTTATCACAATTCTTAAATGTTTTCTCAAATGTGCTGCCGCGTTTCTTGTAGAAACGTAATATATTCTTTAGTTAAATATTTTAGCATGTTTGGACATATTTGCTGGTCGCGTTCGGGGTCAAAAACGAACCATATGAAAAGAAAAAACCATACCTAAGCTTAAATATTTCAATATATTGAATTCAATGTTTATGAACTGTATTTTGTTGTACCGTTACGGGGAATTGATTTGTTAACGTGATGTAACTTTGTGAACTCTTTTCTCGTGCTCATTCTTTTTGTAGTAGCATCTTTGCAACTGTTTGTTCGTTTTGTGTTTTAGGTGTTACAGGGACCTATTACAAGCCAGTATAACATTTGAACCTATCTATTTTTATATACCGGATTTTCCGTTTTGTATTCAGATCGAGTATTCCAATTTTAACTTGGGATATCGAGCTGACTTATAACACTGCATTAGAAATTTGCAATCACTCATGTGCCAGTCCCAGCAGTCAATTGCACGTTCGAGGTATGGGACGTCGAATACATCATACCACGTTGCATCCATCTTGCTCAGCTGGTGAAAAAACGTGGACAGTAGATTAGTTCTCGGGAATTTCACTCGTATAGAATATTAAGCTCCGCTTCCGCGAGAAAGAACAATAAACAAATACGATAATAAGCCACAATTGGCTTTTGAGCGGATTCTGTGGGTTACATTAAAAATACTAGTTTTAAATTTAGAAATCCCCAAGCAGAAAATATTTTGCAACAGAAAACTGACGCAATGCCTAAATTAACCAGATCTGACAGATCAAATAAACCACCATGTGAAAATATAGTGTGTACAACAAACTTTGTAACAATACTGTTACTTACTCGTATCGCGTCGACTTTTTCATATGAAGACTGATCTGGGCAGAGTAGCGCATAAGTTAATCCCCACATAAAGCAAATTAAGATGAACGACTGAAATTTCCATCCTAACATTGCGTCGATATATTTGATCTCTTCTGCATAAAATAACACAGGACGCTGTTAACCGCGAACGGACAACCAAGAACAAGTCTTCTTACAGAACAAAAGTTACATTCGAATTTGTTTTCAGTAAAAGGCTTTCAACTATGATCAATAATTAACACATCAAAATACCAATTTTTATATATTTACAAAAGACTAATAACGTTGATAATAAAACATGAATCACTTGAAAGTTGTTTATCTGCTACACAAGTTTCACCTCAAAATGCCCCGAGCAATAGCAATTTTATTTAACAGATTACACACGTGAAAGCATGTCTCTAGTCTAGATAGATATTAAATTACAATTAGGATGAGAATTCATATGATCGATGTTTTTAATAAATAGACATCGCTGGCTATATAAATTACATATTCCTAGAACATGTTACATATTATATAATAAGTCATCTAATCAGATAAATGAATCCAAATAGTTAATCGGAATCTATTGGAATACTTTTGATATGTATATTTGTAGACCTAGCACTAATACTTGAGTGCGATACCCGTGGATACAGTGTCATCCTAATTCAATGAAACATGTCATTTGTTACATCGCAAATTAAGCTGAATGCGAGTTTTAGTTTTGACTCCATTAGTGGTTCAATAGCGCACCATAGGTCGTGACCAATGGTCGGGGATCACCCTGCCGAAATTATATCGAGATGAACCCGAACTTTTTAAAAGGGAATTTAGTAGCATCAGACATCAGTATTAATTTGTTATCTATTTGAGTACACTGTTCAACTCTCGAATACTATGTCAATCACGGGCATGTTTATTTGCTTATTTCCCATAGAGTTCTCTAATAGAGTTTAATAATATTATTGGTGTCAATTACAATTAGCTAAAAAAAAAGTACAATTAACAATTCGATATGTTTATTTTCGCACTGGGTTCTTTGTTATTATAAAAAACCAAAATTGAATTTTATTTTATCTC